TATGTATGTACGTATGTATGTACGTAAGTATGTACGTATGTACGTATGTTTGTATGTACGTAAGTATGTATGTACGTATGTATGTACATATGTATGTATGTACGTAAGTATGTATGTACGTATGTATGTATGTATGTAAGTACGCATGTATGTACGTATGTATGTATGTATGTACGTAGGCATGTATGTACATATGTATGTACGTATATATGTATGTACGTATGTATGTATGTACGTAAGTATGTATGTATGTACGTACGTATGTATGTACGTATGTATGTATGTACGTAAGTATGTATGTATGTACGTACGCATGTATGTACGTATGTATGTACGTATGTATGTATGTACGTAAGTATATATGTATGTACGTACGCATGTATGTACGTATGTATGTACGTATGTATGTATGTACGTAAGTATGTATGTATGTACGTACGCATGTATGTACGTATGTATGTACGTATGTATGTATGTACGTAAGTATGTATGTATGTACGTACGCATGTATGTACATATGTATGTACGTGAGTATGTATGTACATATGTATGTACGTACGCATGTATGTACGTATGTATGTACGTAAGTATGTATGTACGTATGTACGTATGTATGTATGTATGTACGTACGCATGTATGTATGTATGTATGTACGTAAGTATGTATGTACGTATGTATGTACATATGTATGTATGTACGTAAGTATGTATGTACGTATGTATGTACATATGTATGTATGTACGTAAGTATGTATGTACGTATGTATGTATGTATGTACGTACGCATGTATGTACGTATGTATGTACCTAGGCATGTATGTACATATGTATGTACGTATATATGTATGTACGTATGTATGTATGTACGTAAGTATGTATGTATGTACGTACGCATGTATGTACGTATGTATGTACGTATGTATGTATGTACGTAAGTATGTATGTATGTACGTACGCATGTATGTACGTATGTATGTATGTATGTACGTATGTATGTACGTAAGTATGTATGTATGTACGTACGCATGTATGTACGTATGTATGTACGTATGTATGTACGTAAGTATGTATGTACGTATGTATGTATGTACGTACGCATGTATGTATGTACATAAGTATGTATGTACGTATGTATGTACATATGTATGTATGTACGTAAGTATGTATGTACGTATGTATGTACATATGTATGTATGTACGTAAGTATGTATGTACGTATGTATGTATGTATGTACGTACGCATGTATGTACGTATGTACGTAGGCATGTATGTACATATGTATGTACGTATATATGTATGTACGTATGTATGTATGTACGTAAGTATGTATGTATGTACGTACGCATGTATGTACGTATGTATGTACGTATGTATGTATGTACGTAAGTATGTATGTACGTATGTATGTATGTACGTAAGTATGTATGTACGTATGTATGTACGTATGTATGTATGTATGTACGTAAGTATGTATGTATGTACGTATGTATGTACGTATGTATGTATGTATGTACGTAAGTATGTATGTATGTAAGTATGTATGTACGTATGTATGTATGTACGTACGCATGTATGTACGTATGTATGTACGTATATATGTACGTATGTATGTATGTATGTACGTACGCATGTATGTACGTATGTATGTACGTAAGTATATATACACGTATGTATGTATGTACGTATGTATGTACGTACGCATGTATGTACGTATGTATGTATGTATGTACGTAGGCATGTATGTACATATGTATGTACGTATGTATGTACGTATGTATGTATGTACGTTAGTATGTATGTATGTACGTACGCATGTATGTACGTATGTATGTACGTAAGTATGTATGTACGTATGTATGTATGTATGTATGTACACATGTATGTACGTATGTATGTACGTAAGTATGTATGTACGTATGTATGTATGTACGTAAGTATGTATGTACGTATGTATGTATGTATGTACGTATGCATGTATGTACATATGTATGTACGTATGTATGTACGTAAGTATGTATGTATGTACGTATGCATGTTTGTACGTATGTATGTACGTAAGTATGTATGTATGTACGTATGCATGTATGTACGTATGTATGTACGTAAGTATGTCTGTACGTATGTATGTATGTATGTATGTACGCAGGTATGTACGTATGTATGTACGTAAGTATGTATGCATGTACGTACGTATGTATGTATGTACGTATGTATGTATGTATGTACGTATCTATGTATGTACGTATGTATGTATGTACGTATGTACGTATGTATGTATGTATGTACGTACGCATGTATGTACGTATGTATGTACGTAAGTATGTATGTACGTATGTTTGTATGTATGTACGTACGTACGTATGTACATATGTATGTACGTATGTTTGTATGTATGTACGTACGTACGTATGTACATATGTATGTACGTAAGTATGTATGTACGTATGTATGTATGTATGTACGTACGCATGTATGTACGTATGTATGTACGTAAGTATGTATGTACGTATGTATGTATGTACGTAAGTATGTATGTACGTATGTATGTACGTATGTATGTATGTATGTACGTAAGTATGTATGTATGTACGTACGCATGTATGTACGTATGTATGTACGTAAGTATGTATGTACGTATGTTTGTATGTATGTACGTACGTACGTACGTACGTATGTACGTATGTTTGTATGTATGTACGTACGTACGTATGTACATATGTATGTACGTAAGTATGTATGTACGTATGTATGTATGTACGTACGCATGTATGTACGTATGTATGTACGTAAGTATGTCTGTACGTATGTATGTATGTATGTACGCAGGTATGTACGTATGTATGTACGTAAGTATGCATGCATGTACGTACGTATGTATGTATGTATGTACGTATGTATGTATGTACGTATCTATGTATGTACGTATGTATGTACGTATGTATGTATGTACGTATGTACGTATGTATGTATGTATGTACGTACGTACGTATGTATGTACGTACGCATGTATGTACGTATGTATGTACGTAAGTATGTATGTACGTATGTTTGTATGTATGTACGTACGTACGTATGTACATATGTATGTACGTATGTTTGTATGTATGTACGTACGTACGTATGTACATATGTATGTACGTAAGTATGTATGTACGTATGTATGTATGTACGTACGCATGTATGTACGTATGTATGTACGTAAGTATGTCTGTACGTATGTATGTATGTATGTACGCAGGTATGTACGTATGTATGTACGTAAGTATGCATGCATGTACGTACGTATGTATGTATGTATGTACGTATGTATGTATGTACGTATCTATGTATGTACGTATGTATGTACGTATGTATGTATGTACGTATGTACGTATGTATGTACGTATGTACGTATGTATGTATGTATGTACGTACGCATGTATGTACGTATGTATGTACGTAAGTATGTATGTACGTATGTTTGTATGTATGTACGTACGTACGTATGTACATATGTATGTACGTATGTTTGTATGTATGTACGTACGTACGTATGTACATATGTATGTACGTAAGTATGTATGTACGTATGTATGTATGTATGTACGTACGCATGTATGTACGTATGTATGTACGTAAGTATGTATGTACGTATGTATGTATGTACGTAAGTATGTATGTACGTATGTATGTACGTATGTATGTATGTATGTACGTAAGTATGTATGTATGTACGTACGCATGTATGTACGTATGTATGTACGTAAGTATGTCTGTACGTATGTATGTATGTATGTACGCAGGTATGTACGTATGTATGTACGTAAGTATGCATGCATGTACGTACGTATGTATGTATGTATGTACGTATGTATCTATGTACGTATCTATGTATGTACGTATGTATGTACGTATGTATGTATGTACGTATGTACGTATGTATGTATGTATGTACGTACGTACGTATGTATGTACGTACGAATGTACGTACGTATGTATGTACGTATGTACGTATGTATGTATGTATGTATGTATGTATGTATGTATGTATGTATGTATGTATGTATGTATGTATGTATGTATGTGTGTGTTTGTACAGTGAATCAAATAAGCATTTGAACGTCCTGCTCTTTTGAGATTCATAATCTAAAAACCACAAGAAACCACAATATGTGATTTTTTAAACTATTTATTTGTCTGATACAGCTGCAAATAAGTATTTGAGCACTTATCTATCAGTTAGAGTTCTGACCCTCAAAGACCTGTTAGTCTGTCTTCAAAATGTCCACCTTCACGCCATTTAAATTCCTAAATTAGATGCACCTGTTTGAGCTTGTTAGCTGCATAAAGCCCCCCGGTCACCCCATACAATCAGTAAGAATCCAGCTAATAACATGACCAGGACCAAAGCTGTCCAAAAACACTAGAGACAAAATTATGCACCTACACAAGGCAGGGAAGGGCTACGGGGAAATTGCCGAGCAGCTTGGAGAAAAAAGGTCCACTCTTGGAGCAATCATTAGAAAATGGAAGAAGGTAAACATGACTGTAAATCCACCTTGGACTGGGGCTCCATGCAAGGTCTCACCTAACGGAGTCTCAATGATCCTAGGAAAAATTAGAAATCAGCCCAGAACTACAATACTGGTCAATGATCTGAAAAGAGCTGGGACCACCCTTTCCAAGGTTACTGTTGGTAATACATTAAGACGTCATGGTTAGATATCTTGCATGGCACGGAGGGTTCCCCTGTTAAACAGTTTGCCAATGACAATTTGGATGATCCAGAGGAGCCATGGGAGAAAATCATGTGGTCAGATGAGACCAAAATACAACTTTAGATTATGTCTCTCACAGTCGACATGCGCCTACGATGACAATTTAAGAACCCTCTATGATTTCTAAGTGGGAGAACTTGCAAAATAGCAGGATGTTCAAATACTTACTTTCCTCACTGTTATATATATATGTATATGTATATATATATATCATTAATTATCCTGTTTATTTACATTAACAGATGGACAAACACTGACTTATCAAGCTCAGAAAGTAGTGAACTGTAAAGAAAACTCAAATGGTTCGGGTTCTCCAGCAGTATCATGCACTATGAAAAATATATGTAATCAAAGTCAAACTAGAGATATGAAGATCGAAGTGATTTATGGTATGTATCAGTTTGTAATTTTATTTTAAACTTAGAACCTAAAGATAGATTACAATGTTTTATTAAAGAAAATTACATTTATTCCATACAGAATGTGAATGTAAATGTCTTTATTGTCCCAGAATGGGGAAATTCATTCTGCATTTAACACATCCCCTGCCATTGTGCGGCACCCAGGGAGCAGTCTGGGGTTAAGGGTTTTGCTAAGGAACCCAGAGTGCAGGCTGTGGGGATCGAACCGGATACTTGCAACCTTTTCAGAGCACAAACGCACTGCTCTAACCACCAGGCCAACACTTACCCAATATATAATATTATGTATCTATAACTTTATTAATTTTAATGATTCTAGATGATTAAGTAATTTAGATAAATATAGGGTATGTGTGTACCCTTTATTTATCTAGTTAGATCTGTCTGTCTTTTTTTTTTTTTTTTTTTTAACAAAGATCTTGTCATAAATGGTAGCGGCACACAGACTTCCCAAATAAAAGTGAAATGACACGATAAAACATTTGAGATAAAGTATTAGTAGAAAATAAGAACAAACATTTAACATTTTCTAGAAAGAGGGGGGTATGAAATGTGTAAATGTCCGCTGAGTTTTATCAAGTCCAGCATCTATGCTGTTGGTCACTTGCAGCTATTAGAGGGCAACAGTCTTCCTTCTGCTCGTAAGCTTTATGTTGCTAAGTAAAATGTTTCCATCAGTAATTGTGACCCACCTACAAAAGTACCAATACCTGTGGAGGGTCCTTATTAAAGTATGGGGCTTCCATGAAACTTCAGCAGCACCCTCATGTCATAGTTCATTAATGCAGTAAATAATGCAAAGCAACCCCAAATGAGTAATGAGTTCATGTACTGTACAGTACATTATCATACTTTTTCTTGGACAGAAGTTTCTATTTTCTCACTCTGTTACTGGTTTTGCAGAGTACTGTATTTTTCATTCGCTGTAATTCATAATCGTGAACATTGACACTACTAAACCTCTGAAATATATCACAATTTATTTGAAAAACATCTTTGTGTTTCACTTTTGAAAAGAAAAACACTTAATTCTGAATGAAAATTCTCTTTAATTCATTGTGAATTATAACAGTGAACGATCCGTTCTGTGCACCGGAAGGTGACTGGAGCCGGACCAAAGCCGATTTCACAGCAGAACTAAAATGCAGTGAAAAGGCTGGAAAAAGAAAGCGAAAATGTTCATTAAAGTAAGATTTGAAACCTTTTCTTCTTTTCACAAATTTAATGAAAACTTCTCATGGTTTATTTCATTCATGAAAATGTATTGAAAGCTGCAGTTCTCAACAGAACAATTCTTTGTGTGTGTGTGTGTGTGTGTGTGTGTGTGGCCATGTCTTTGTTACCTGGTGGAGACAATTTCCCAGGAATATGCTACATTTTGGGAACTCATAGGTACTTATAGGTACTTGTGGGGTTTAAAGACTGGTCCCCATCAGGCGAAGTTCTGTTCTTGCGGTGGGGGTAAGGTTTAGATCTAAGGTGTGAATTGAGTTTAGGTTAGGTCTAGGGTATTTGCGTATTTGGGTATTTCTTAGCGGTTAGGCGTTAGACACTCTCTCGATGCCCCATCCGTGCTGGGGCCGTGCTGTACCTACAATGTGGAGCAGGTATTTTCCAACACCCACATGTGTGGACTTACAGGAACATATGGGGACATTGCATTGGTCCCCATATGGTAAAGTTCTGTCCTGATGGGTATGTTTTGGTAATTGTTAGGGTTATGGTAAGGTCTAGGTTAGGCCATATAATTTGAATGCAAGTCAATGAAGTGTCCCCATACGTCATGAAATCACAGCTGTGTCTGTGTGTGTGTGTGTGGGTGTGGCCATGTCTTTAATAACTGGTGGGGACAATTTCCTAGGAATATGCTACATTTTGGGGACTCATAGGTACTTGTGGGGACCAACAACTGGTCCCCATAAGGAAAGTTTCTCTTCTTGGGGTGGGGGTTAGGTTTAGGACCAGAGATGGCAAAAGTACTCACTTTCCGTACTTGAGTAAAAGTACAGATACTTGTGTTAAAAAATACTCTGGTAAAAGTGGAAGTACTGATTAAACTTCTTTACTCAAGTAAAAGTAACAAAGTACAGGCTTGTAAATTTACTTAAAGTATAAAAGTAAAAGTAGAAACCACTTTTTTAATGCCGTTGCCTACATTTTAAACGGATGTCTGCCAATAGGACTAGATCTCCGTTGTGTTAATTTTCAATCATCTCGTCGTCCATGCTACTATGCTAACGCCACCGCCACCAAGCTGCAATGATTTGCCGCCAATGAATACCGCCGAATCTGTCGATTCATCTTGTAGTGGTGCGTCAAATGCAACGTAGATTCCCATCCACATGTGTGGACTTACAGGAACATATGGGGACATTGCATTGGTCCCCATATGGTAAAGTTCTGTCCTGATGGGTATGTTTTGGTAATTGTTAGGGTTATGGTAAGGTCTAGGTTAGGCCATATAATTTGAATGCAAGTCAATGAAGTGTCCCCATACGTCATGAAATCACAGCTGTGTCTGTGTGTGTGTGTGTGGGTGTGGCCATGTCTTTAATAACTGGTGGGGACAATTTCCTAGGAATATGCTACATTTTGGGGACTCATAGGTACTTGTGGGGACCAACAACTGGTCCCCATAAGGAAAGTTTCTCTTCTTGGGGTGGGGGTTAGGTTTAGGACCAGAGATGGCAAAAGTACTCACTTTCCGTACTTGAGTAAAAGTACAGATACTTGTGTTAAAAAATACTCTGGTAAAAGTGGAAGTACTGATTAAACTTCTTTACTCAAGTAAAAGTAACAAAGTACAGGCTTGTAAATTTACTTAAAGTATAAAAGTAAAAGTAGAAACCACTTTTTTAATGCCGTTGCCTACATTTTAAATGGATGTCTGCCAATAGGACTAGATCTCCGTTGTGTTAATTTTCAATCATCTCGTCGTCCATGCTACTATGCTAACGCCACCGCCACCAAGCTGCAATGATTTGCCGCGAATGAATACCGCCGAATCTGTCGATTCATCTTGTAGTGGTGCGTCAAATGCAACGTAGATTCCCAACCAATTAGATTGAATTTGGTATTGATGGCGTGAAAAATAATAACGGTAACTCCATTGAATTTATTCAAAACTAAAGTAACGAGCCAATTTTTTAAGATGTAAGGAGTAGAAAGTACAGATATTTGTGTAAAAATGTAAGGAGTAGAAGTAAAAAGTCGCCATAAAAATAAGTAGTAAAGTAAAGTAAAAATATCAGAAAAATCTACTTGAGTACAGTAACGAAGTATTTGTACTTCGTTACTTCCCATCTCTGTTTAGGACTAAGGTGTGAATTGAGTTTAGGTTAGGTTTAGGGATAGGTATGTGTCGGTAATGGTTAGGGTTAGGCCATAGAAATTAGTGGGAAATGAATGGAAGTCAATGGAAGGTCCCCACAAGGATATTGTGACACAACATGTGTGTGTGTGTGTGTGTGTGTGTTGGGGGGGTTTGTGTGTGTTAAACAGTTTCATTAACATTTTCATAATCCTTTCAGCAATGGTGTTGCAACTTGGGATGAGGAGGTTTCAGAATGTATTGAAGAGGACCTCAACAATGTGCTGGAAAAAGCCAGAGTACGTGAACTTAACTTTCTATCGCTGTTCAGAACTTCATTTTGAAGAAGCTTGCTAAGAGCTTCATAGTTATTTTTTCCAACATTAATAAAACTGTCCAATGAATAAAAGTTTTGACAAAAGATATTTAGTTTAAATTATTGTCATATCTGTCCGCTGGTTAAATGAGTTGCTGATGATCACACAATAATAACCTTTTATCGTTCCTCTCTTGCAGATTAGTGACATTGGACTTGGTGTATTGAAAGAAAATGCTGCAGAAGTACTTCATGAGTTTGAGACTATCACTACGACATCAAAATTACCTGGTTATGCCAACTTGGAAGCATCGGTGGATGTAATTTCTACCATTGAAGATAAGTTACAAGGGGAAAACCAGATGAATAGAACATCAATTGAAGTGAGTGTCAAACCTCAACCATCTCTTAATAATTCAAGAGCATTTAGATCTTGAATTATTAAGTAAACTGTAATATTTTGTTCAAAATATATTACAGTATTGTTCTTTTCCTCATTTCATTTTTTACCCAGCTTCTTTCTTATTGTTGAATCATGAACACTTAACTTTGGCCACTGTGACCCACAAGGCTTCTCTAGAGCCTCGTGGTTGAGTCACCGATGAGCTCTTGGGAGTAACTGAGTACTGTTGGGAAGGTTCACTGTTGTTCAACATTCAAAACTTTAGATCACAGATTTTAATGACTGCTTCTCATCTGTTGGTGAATTTCTTCTGATAGTAATCAGGTGTGATGCTTTTGATGCTAAAGGTCTTTAAGGCTTCTCTGTTATAAGACACAAATATTTTTAAGGGCTTCTTGGTTCTACAGGAAAGGCAGTATTAATGGCAGCTTTTGAAAATAAGTTCAAAAACAACATGAGCTAAGGCGTCAGAGGCATAGGTTTATTGCTTATGAATCAGAAGTCGAAGCAAATCATCAAACCAACAACATCGTCTTGTTACTTAAGAGATAAACACGGTATTAGCAACAGAATTACACATAGCCTGCCATGGTTTATACCTATGAATCCTCTCCCGCTGTTGTGGTATTGAAGGATGTAATCAGTTTTAACACACACCAATCATCTCGTTATGATGAGAAAACGACTTTTTATCTTTAAATAATGAGAAAATTAACTTGTTTTCTTGAGAAAACTGTTGTGAAAAACTATCAGAGGGACACAACCGCTCTCAGCTTACGTACTGTCACAATAGCAGGGAGTATTTAAATCTTTATTGATGTGTGCTCTCCCTGAACTTTTGATTTTGTGCTATCTCTTCTGCTACATTTAAACAGTTATGTCTCCATCTAGAAGCAATGAAATTCTCAAGATGATTTAGCTAAACTCAATTCTTTCTAAAGCCAATGAATCTATAGGTCTCCAGGTGCCAAGCAATGGCAGCCCACTGCTCTGCAAGGGCATTGGTTAAATGTAGAGAGTCAATTTCATTGCTCTGTACTTGTCAGTGTAGTGACAATGAAAGCTGGAAGAAAAAAAGGTCTTCATCAAGTAGACCCATAAATGTATATATATATATATATATATATATATATATATATATATATATATATATATATATATATATATATATATATATATATATATATATATATATATATATATATATATATATACACTACCGTTCAAAAGTTAGGGGTCACATTGAAATGTCCTTATTTTTAAAGGAAAACACTTTAAACTAGTCTTAACCTTAAAGAAATACACTCTATACATTGCTAATGTGGTAAATGACTATTCTAGCTGCAAATGTCTGGGTTTTGGTGCAATATCTACATAGATGTATAGAGGCCCATTTCCAGCAACTATCACTCCAGTGTTCTAATGGTACAATGTGTTTGCTCATTGGCTCAGAAGGCTAATTAATGATTAGAAAACCCTTATGCAATCATGTTCACACATCTGAAAACAGTTTAGCTCGTTACAGAAGCTACAAAACTGACCTTCTTTTGAGCAGATTGAGTTTCTGGAGCATCACATTTGTGGGGTCAATTAAACGCTCAAAATGGCCAGAAAAAGAGAACTTTCATCTGAAACTCGACAGTCTATTCTTGTTCTTAGAAATTAAGGCTATTCCATGCGAGAAATTGCTAAGAAATTGAAGATTTCCTACAACGGTGTGTACTACTCCATTCAGAGGACAGCACAAACAGGCTCTAACCAGAGTAGAAAAAGAAGTGGGAGGCTGCGTTGCACAACTGAGCAAGAAGATAAGTACATTAGAGTCTCTAGTTTGAGAAACAGACGCCTCACAGGTCCCCAACTGGCATCTTCATTAAATAGTAGCCACAAAACACCAGTGTCAACATCTACAGTGAAGAGGCGGCTGCAGCATTCTGGGCTTCAGGGCAGATTGGCAAAGAAAAAGCCATATCTGAGACTGGCCAATAAAAGAAAAAGATTAAGATGGGCAAAAGAACACAGACATTGGACAGAGGAAGACTGGAAAAAAAGGGTTGTGGACGGAAGAATCCAAGTTTGAGGTGTTTGGATCACAAAGAAGAACGTTTGTGAGACGCAGAACAAATGAAAAGATGCTGGAAGAATGCCTGACGCCATCTGTTAAGCATGGTGGAGGTAATGTGATGGTCTGGGGTTGCTTTGGTGCTGGTAAGGTGGGAGATTTGTACAGGGTAAAAGGGATTCTGAATAAGGAAGGCTATCACTCCATTTTGCAATGCCATGCAATACCCATTGGACAGCGCTTGATTGGAGCCAATTTCATCCTACAACAGGACAATGACCCTAAACACACCTCCAAATTGTGCAAGAACTATTTAGAGCAGAAGCAGGCAGCTGGTATTCTATCGGTAATGGAGTGGCCAGCGCAGTCACCAGATCTGAACCCCATTGAGCTGTTGTGGGAGCAGCTTGACCGTATGGAACGCAAGAAGTGCCCATCCAACCAATCCAACTGGTGGGAGCTGCTTCTGGAAGCGTGGGGGGCAATTTCTCCAGATTACCTCAACAGATTAACAGCTAGGATGCCAAAGGTCTGCAATGCTGGAATTGCTGCAAATGGAGGATTCTTTGACGAAAGCAAAGTTTGATGTCAAAAAATGCTTTTATTTCAAATACAAATCATTATTTCTAAACTTGTCAATGTCTTGACTCTATTTTTTATTCATTTCACAACATATGGTGTTGAATAAATGGGACTTTTCAGGAAAAAACAAAATTGTTTGGGTGACACCAAACTGTTGAACAGTAGTGTATATACAGTGCTTGTTATATATCACAGATATATTTAAAATAATGACATGAAATTATGTTTTTTTTTTTTGCTTTTAGGATTTTATAATCTCATCCAGTCATCTGCTGAATAAGAGTCTTGAAAGCTCATGGAATGCAACTCCTCCTGAGAACAAGTCATCAACAGTTGCTGAGACCTACATGATTGCTGTTGAGAAATTCATTAAGAGATCAAACATAACAAATATACCAAAGGAAAATCTGATAGTGGATGTTTGTAACAAGAGTGCGGAAACCTGTTCAGTGTCTAGTTTCGATGTCACGATTTCTATTTCAAATGCTGGTGAAGTTAAAACAGCTACATTTAGAAACTTGCAGAACTATTTGCCCTATAACAAAAACGAATCGGAGCCTAACAGTATTGTGGTTTCCGCAACTGCAGAAAACAAAAGTATCGATCATATTACCATTGAATTTAAACTGATCAACCCAAGACCTCGCAACGTTGAGTTAAAGTGTGTGTTTTGGGACACTAAGCTTAAAGGGTGGTCAACGGATGGATGTGAATGGCTGGGGCCATTCAAGGAGAGCAGCTGCGTCTGTAAACATCTTTCCTCATTTTCCATTCTAATGTCCAAGAAGCCCCTGGACGTCCCTGGCTTAACCTATGTAACCTATGCAGCTTTGTCAGTGTCAGTGTTGTCCCTCATCATCAACCTCGCGATAGAGTTCATTGTCTGGAGCGACGTTGTCAAGACAAGCACTTCATATTTACGCCACACTGCCCATGTGAACATTTCTCTGTGTTTGCTCATTGCTGACCTTTGCTTTTTGGCATCTTCTCAGCCAAAGGGGATTTCAGACCTCTGGTGTCGGACCTCCGTGGTCCTGAAGCATTTTTGCTTTCTGGCCATGTTCTTTTGGATGTTTTGTCTGAGCGCCACACTCCTTCATCGAGCAGTCTTTTTGTTCCACAAGGTGAGCAAGAAAAATTACCTCAGGTTCTCGTTACTGATTGGCTATGTTTGCCCCTTGCTTATTGTCTTTATCACGTTTCTCACCAACAATGGTGGAGCGGAGGGCATGTACTACTCAAAAGACTCCTGCTGGCTGGTTTATGCCGGACTTTTTAAGGGAAGCATTTTCACATTCATCATTCCAGTCGGAGTGATTGTTTTCATCAACATTTTCTCGATGCTTGTGGTTATCATGAAGCTCATAAGTCATCACGCAGAAATCAGCAAAAAAACTGATATTTCGGCAGAGGAGGAGAAAGCGGCTGCCAAAACGGTGCTTAGAACCGTTGTCCTCCTGACCCCGATCTTTGGCGTGACGTGGATCTTTGGATTTGCCATGCTGGCTCTTGATCTCACAAGCGGAGACATAGCTTACGCAGTCAACTACATCTTTAACCTGCTAAATGGCTTCCAGGTAGAGTTCAGATGATATATGCAATTTAAGAACTTAACAAGGAGTATTTTCTGTAAAAGTTATTTCTTTCAATTGCAGGGTTTTTTCATTTTGTTGACCACCTGCTTGGGAGACAAGATGGTAAGTTAACAGAAATGGTAGGACCCCATATGTTTAGATTAAGCATCAATACATCTTTTCACTGTACTTTCTGCAGACCCGTGAAGCTCTACAGAGGTACCTAAAGAAAGTAGGTGTTCATCCAATACTATTGCAAGTTTGCAAACTACCATTATTTTTTGTTAATGTCTATCTTGTTTCTTCTAAGCCCCAGTCTCCAGAATCCAGTGTCAGTGAGAGCTCCACTAAGCTGGAATCAACTGTGAAGAAATAAAACAAGCCCATCATGTACCTTTACTCTTCTCTGTGATTGATCATTATTATTTGTACATAAGTATTTATACATGTATTCTGTAATATTATTCTTTATTGGTTAGCTTTGATTAGACAAATGTCAAGCCTGCTCAAAGTAACATTGCAACACTATCATATAAGAAGTGAAAAATCACTGCACATTGCACCTTGCAGAAATTATGTTAAAAACTGTTTTTGTTAAAGCATACTGCAAACTAAGTCTGCTGGATGGTTTGAGAAACAAACATTTCTTTTCCATGTTCTTTGCTTTGCTGCACCCACTCCTCATCTGTATCATCTAATGAAATGCCATCCAGAGCTGCTTTCTTGCGGTAGGCCTGGTACTCAGACTCTGCTCTGCAACATATATAAAAAAAAAAACATGAAACATTTACATTTAAACATGTATAATCATTAATAATAAAGAATAATGGATCAAAAGGGTTTTTTTGTCATACTTTTTAAGGAATCTAACACATTCTTGGTGTTCTTATATTTCGGCTATCCTTACTGGTTTGTCTCCACAGCAGTCCTTCTTCTCTATGGGTGCATGGAGAATGTGCAGCATCTTCAGCACAGCCAGCCGACCGGACTCCGCAGCATAGCGGGCAGGAGTCCATCCGTGCTCCGTCCTCAGACATTGCCTGGCTCAATGTTCTATGAGAATCCTGACCATCTCTGTATCTCCTCCGAAAGATGCAATACAAAGTGATCTGAAGAAATAAAAGCAAAAAAGGTTTTTAACCTGCCAAATTAAAAAAACACAAATTGGGAAGTTAGTGATGGTAAATGTCATGACGCCATAAACAGATAGACTGTAGATAACCCCGTAGGCCTAATTTATTTAATCAGAATGCACTATTGGACCAGTTATTGGCTATAATCTAAACAATCCAACCATCAATACTATTCTTAATTGAAAATCAAAGCCAGAATCTGGTTCCAAATATATCTTTTGGCTGTAAAAAAAAAAATTTCATTTTTCGTAGTGTTGATATTTCTCCTGAAATCAAAATATTTAAGCTTTAAAACTGAAGGCTAAAGGATGAAAAAAATGTAAGGGACCAAAAACATGAACTTCCCCTTATTTTACAGTTTGTTAAATACAAATCAACAAGTTAACCCGCTCTTGTCGTTTTTCATTATCTTCTTAATAAATAAAGAGTTTGTATATAATCTATTGCCTTTACATCTGCAACCAATTCGATAAATCGGTGAGTTATTTGATGCACCCAACCGTAATAATCAAGGGGTTATCCCTGCAACATGTTTAAAAATAAAAAGGTTTTCCCCTCCAGGCATACACTATATGTGTTATACCTTTTATGCAGTCATGCATTTTAGATTTAGCGCTCCATGATTTTAATTCTGCAGATAGTTGAGTAATTGTTCAATCTTTTTCCTTTAAATTTTACTGGGTGTTACTTAGAAAAGACGCTTACTTTTTGAAGTTGCTCTCATTCAGCTCTTTCCCCTTCAAAACTCTAAACACAAAACCCTAAAAGACCAAATTTTTGGTAGCAGTTAATATTGTCCCCTGATCTCTAAAGAAATCCCCTTATTAGTGCTTTGGGAAAATGCTCTGTTTGAGACGTGACATGCACTGCGTCAGGCTAGACACATTTCGTCCTTTTCAGTTATGACTTTACGACATGTAGAATTTAGCTGTGGAAACATCTCCTTTAGCTAAGAATGAGATGCATGACAAAAGCTATGAATACAGATGAACATGTGATTTCTTTTATTGTTTTATTTCTAATGTATTATCTGAATTATTGGATATTATGTTTTAAGTTTTGAGGGGGGAAAAAATGAATCCATTTCCCTCTGGGATTATTAAAGTATTTCTGATTCTAAGGTAACATCAAATGTGAAAAAAATTAAAATGTCTGAATATTTTTAAAAATATGTATTTTCATGCTTGTTGGGGATGTATAAAAACACAGCCAAGTTTAAGAATATAATGTATTTTAGATGTTAATGTTGATACCGTATTGCCATTGACTTGTACTGCTGCTAAACCACCCCCCACCCCCAAGAGCTGATGTTGCTCACAAACCCTTCGGCATGTTCATTTTTATGCATCCATCAGATGTTGATGTGCTTCCTAATATATCCCAACAACCTTTAGCTCTTAGTAGTCACAGTTTTAAGCCTATGAGGTCTACCAAACAAAAATAATGAAGTTATTCTAATACACGATGGGTCCAAAATGGCGGAGTTATTATTTGAGCCGAATGGAACACTGCCGCCTGCTGGACAGGTCAAAGCATTACATATCCATCTATTGAAAGTTGCACTGTATTCCAGTACCGCATCCATAACAGAGAGAAGTCTCCTTTTGAGGTTAATAAATATTATTTCTTCAAGACTATTAGTTCTGCGTTGACCTACTGGGTTTATGTCCCTTAATGCCAGTAGTCTAGTTGTAAAAAAAAAAAAAAAATAGGATGGTGGAATTTATCTTTTTTTTTTGGAAGCATAAATAGCCTAATTAATATAGTCTATTAACCTAAAACGCCAGTCATTGACCTTGACCAAGGCACCTGGCATGGCTATCACCACCCCTACATATTTAGCGTGGCATTATGTTATAAATGTTATAGAATACAAGCAGAAGTTCTCCATTAATTTTAAAAAGAAAAATTTGTTTGTCTGTCTTGCCCATCTTAAAGGATAAAATGAAGGGTGAGCAGCTGTAAGAGAGAGAGACCTAAACCCCCATTTTTCCACTACATTTCCAGTTCAGAGGCCTCATGTTCCTTAGCACATTCTTTGTTAACGAGTTTGTCATGAATATGAGTTTTAATATTTTGTGCTTAAGTGATAAAATAGAAATTAAAATGCTGAATCAGAAAACCAAATCATCCACAATCCATAATTTAAACAGTGAAACATAGCAGTAATTATCTTTCATAATCATCCTACACGGGGATGCAGATCAAAGTTAAATGTAGGATGCACAGAGCTTAATGTTTAAAGAAAAGATGAGACTTTAGAGCATGATGGTGGTTTCCTTCCCAACAGGAATGACTAAAGCTGTAGCTAAAATGAAATGGTTTACATTAAAACAATTCATGTTAGATCAAGATCCAAAGTCTTAACCTTTATGCAATTGTGAAAACCAGACAAGACTTCAATTTCTTTTCACACATTCTCTACCCCCTTTGATTTTTAGGCTGTAGTTGAGCAAAATGAAAGAACCAGAATACTTAATCAGTAGGTCTAAATTACATTTGTGTTGCACAGTTTCTATTTTTATTCACAAAACCATTAGGAAACAATTTTTAGACATGATTTAGAAATCAGTATACAATACACAAGACCCAATGGTCTTTTCCCCCTATATCTTAAGATTTTATAACGGTAAAATTGTTGGAAAAGATCTGAAAAAACAAAATAAAAAATTGCTGAACTCCCAATAAAGCAAAGCTAATTTAAAAGAACAATGCCACCGTTATAAGAGCAAAGAGGAAACCTTTTTTGGTTTTATTTTGTCAGAATATAGAAGCAAAACGATCACATTTTATGCTAATAAAAAAAAAACATTTTTGCAAGTTGGACCACAAAAAAAAGCAATGATCGGTTTTCAGTTTAATATTTTATGAACAGCTTTATTTAATTTTGTATAAGTTCCAACACACAAGAAGAAGCAATGAGGCATTTCCATTTTGATACAATCAGTAAGATTCATCAAGAGAAGATGGTCAAAAAAAAGCTCCATCTTATTCCTGGATATGCTTGAGTGTTTGCCTTTTACTCCTCTTATAATACAGACAAACTGGAGGCATTTTTGACTGAGCTGAACCACTTTGAGATCAGTTGATTGAAGGGTTTTTTCCAACATACATTCCTCTATACTTTCCAGTGTTGCTGCATTAATGCATTTATGGAGACCCCTTCACATTCTACTTCCACTGAATACTGGGGAACTGGAACCTCCGAATAGTTTTCCACACTGACCACTGTCAGGTTTAATGGTTTATCAACAAGAAGATTGTAGAAGACATCATAAGCCTGCTCATCCCAGGAACCCTTAGACTCGTCGAATCCCATCAAACGACACATAAAGGCCTGAGGTGCCATCTCCTGGAGACTCTGAGGCAAAGGTCTTACATCTTGGACGTCTATGTCTGACTCGTTTCCATAGTCGATAAAAAGGACATGAAATATTTTGTTACTTTTCTCGACTACCAAGGCTCTGTACCACTGTTTATCATCAGGAAACAGAGCAAGACAACGGCTGCCCGGTCCTAGACTCTGAGGGAATGTCACATCGTCTTGTTCCTCTCCGGCTTTTTGAGCTTCTTGTGACACTTTGCTTAAATCCTCAGTATCTGCAAATTGACACCAGAAGAATTTTGGCTCTGAAATACAGGATGCGTAAACCATTTCCGTTTTAGCCCTGATAACTTCTGGTTGCTTGAACCTAGACACGGTCATATTCTCTTTGGAGGCATCAGGGTTATAAATGTTGTCACCGCTGTAAAGGTCTTTGGAAGTTTGGGTTTGTTCCACATCATCTCCAGAATGTTCTTCAGAAGATGGCTTCCAATATTTCTCTAGTACTTTATTTACCACAATCTCGTCACACTGTGTGGTTACTGCATGTTGAGGCACTGCGATCTCTGAATTATTATCCGTGGCTGCAACTCTCACTTTAAGTGGCTTGTCAACTATGATACTGTAGAACTCATCGTAAACCTTTTCATCCCAGGAGCCCCTGGACTCCAAACCCCCCAAACAGCACAGAAATGCCTGAGGAGCAATCTCTAGCAGGTTTTTAGGAAGGGGTCTTATATATTTTTTCTCAACATCACACTCATTTCCATAATCAACAAACAAGACATGGACTGTTTCGTCTCCTTTCCCTGTTACTAGAGCTCTGTACCACTGGTTGTCTTCTGAAAACAGAGCAAGGCAGGGACTACCAGATTCAAAGTGCTCAGGTGAAATCATGTCTTGTGCCTTAGCAGCATCTTTAGCAAGTGACAACACTTTGTCAAGGGTCTCCGTGTTGGCAGGTTGACACCAAAAGTACTGTGGTCCAGCAATGCAAGAAGCATACACATCCAGAATCATGTTTTTGCAAATATTTGGCCACTTGTACATGAGGCCGACTACATCTTGCTTTAGGTAAGAGTCAGAGGAAAGCCGAGTAATTTCTATGTCGCTGTGGGAGCTCTGAATGAAAGTGTCAGTTTTGCTTTCACTGTTCTCAAGAATTATGTCCAACGTCATCCCTTGCCTTACTTCTGGTGAAACGACATATGTGGCACACATGTCAGTGTTGGGGTTGTCCAACACTGATCCTCTTGCAAGTTCGGGTGGGGAAAAGTCCTTCTTTGGCACAGTGGCCTTCTTAGAGACAAACCGGTCGCCATCCTTATAACTCATAGCAGTTTTGTTAGGTAGTCTCATTTTTCTCACTTTATCCCTGACCATCGCATTAACACTGAGGGATCCATTAAACATCTCAACCAACAGTTTCCCATCATTCCCTTTTTCCACTACTGAAATGGTAAAACTGTTCTCCAAAGCACATTCTGCAAACCACTTGTTGACTTCCTGTGGTGTATCTGGAGGAACATTATAAAGGCCAAGTGAAACAGCCTGAACAGGGACAGACCTGGCAATGGTTGCTTCAGGAGGGAAGGGGCGAATATCTGTTTTAGGAACAGCAAGGGTTTCCCCATAGTCAACAAAGTTCACCTTGAGTTTTGGGGAACTTTGTACTATAAGACCTCTGTACCACTGATTGTCACTATACTTGGCTAAGCAAATACTGTTGAGTTTCATTTGACAATCTGAGCTTTGAAGCTTGTTGGGCAGGTTTGAAATACTCTTCCAGAGTTTGTCCAATACTTGTGAATTCCTTGTCAACTGGCAGTAGAAGTGATTGACTGATTCAGTAAAGGTCACCAGGACATCCTCTTCTTTGCCCACTTTAATGCCATGCATGGAGTAGTTATACTCATCTACTCGAAGTTCAGTAGGAATTTTCTTCCAAGCTTTTGATAGACCAGAATAGTCTGCCAAGTGCTTAGATCCTGACTGAATATCAACCATGTTCTGTCTGAGGCCATTTTCAGATGTTTCAGGCTTGTCAACACGTTTCAATCCAGAGACAGAAGAAGAGCCCAAATCCATGCATTTCTCAAAGTCTCTACCTATTTCATCGACCCATTTGACAGGAGAGGGACTGGTGGATTTTTGCAAGTTTGAAAGCCTTTCCTGAAAAGCATCCTGTTGAAAGACCAGTGGCTCAATGGGTTCTCCTTCAGGCTTCAAAGATGGACCAAATCCTGTCGAGGTAAGGGAAAATTATTAATGCCTTCAGCAAAAGATGGGAGTATTAGACAGTTTACCAGTTTAAAACAAAATCTAGATTTAATGAGCATGACTTCATACTCATTTGTCTTAGCAATTTTCTAAATTCAGGCAGATTTTGTGTTTCAAAGAATGAATGCAAGGCAAGTCAGAGGAGGTCAATCTGATTGTGTAGAAAATATATAAAAGTAAAAAAAAAAGTATTCGATTGATCTTCTCTCGCTGATTATTTTCACAACTTATATTTCAACTTCAATGTTGCCACACTGCAAAAAAGATCTAGAAATAAGTAAAAGTTTCTTCAATCAAGTGTATTAACTGTTCATTTTAATGGGTAAATAAGATCATTTATGCACTTAAAAATAAGGCAATGCAATTGATTTTTTTCTTTTCTTATTTTAAATGTAAATTGTCTTGTTCCTTTGGCAAAGGATCTCACCTCCTCAATTCAAGAAAAAAAATGCAATAATTTTAAGAAAACATTGACCATTTAGATTTCAAGGTTTTGCAGTGCACCTACATTTTTATTTTGGAAATGATCTATTTTGTGTCGATTACATTTAATGTCCAACTTTAAGCTAGATAGAGCCATTAGGAATGCCTGAAGCTACTTATAGCCTCATTGGCCTGTGAATACAAGTGGCACTTGAAAAAAGTGTGAGCATGGAAAATAACATTTTCTCTTATTACTTTATCAATGTCTATCTTATTTCATACAGTGACTGTTTCATATTGCAGTTTATACAAATGTAGCATTGAACCTAAATCTCTGTGCTAAAGTAGTTTGGTTATTATTTTTTATTTATTTACATGCAGTTTTGTAAAAATACTTTTTAACAGTTAAAATGCAGAATTAAATTATCTGAAAGTTAGTTTTTTCAATTAACTCACCTGTTTCCAAGCCTTTATGTTTGTCAGTTTTTTTATTTTCTATTTACGGCCAGAGAACACAACATTTTAAGTTAGAATATTATATCAGTGTTGAACAATTGAACACATAAATAAGGACCTAATAGTACTGCACCTGCTTAAACGTTATTTGGGATGCACTGTAATGAAAACTGGGTAGATGTTAATCAAATATCAAATCTATGACCCACAGTCAACATTTATTGATATCACATTTCACCATGTGTTGTACGACATGGAAAAAAGAAAACAGTGCTGACATTGCTTTTGTGCATCATAAAAAAAAAATCTTCTACACTTAATTTGAAATGTTCAATTTTGAGATAGTTTTAATAGGTTAAACTCCTATACACTCAACACAGTAAATATCTTTAAAAAATTATAAACTAGTTTAAAAAGAATAACTTATAATCACTGTGAGAAAGAGATGGGAGAGAGAGCTATAAGATATATAAAGGCTGACATTTTTGGCCCATATGGGAACAAAAGTATTCTGCATTTTAGAGGACTTCTTAATGTCTCAGATGAACAAGCAATCTCACACAGCTGCATTTTCCTGCTTTGCAACTTTCAGCAGAACGCCCACTTTTTTAATAAGCAATTTCCCTTTCGTTTCTACAGGTGTGACAGTGAAGCAAACATAATTTCAAGCCATTGAAATCATTTTGTGTGGCCTCAATTTTTATTTTATTTTTTTTTACATTTAAAGAGGTATTTTGGATTCCATGGGATTTTTATTTTTTATTTCCCCAGACCTACTTTCCATTTTATTGAATTTTTTGCTGTTTGCATGTGGAGTCTACTGTTGGTTTGCTTCTAATAATAACATTCTTTTACTTTGAGGTTTTCAATAAAGATATCTGATATTTGATATCCTCTGAGTACTTTTAACTTTAGGGTTAACTTATTTTGCCTTACCATTCGTGCTGCAAGCTGCGCGTTGCATCTTGCTCCTCTGGCATTACTGGGCTGGTGGTGCGTTCAGGAACTCTGGGTTTTTAAAGGCTTCGATAGTTAACGCCTCACTCGGCACGAGCAGCGCGTCATCAGTCTGAAATGAAAGTCGCTTTTAATATGGTTGGATAAATCACTGTATTAACCTCTGAATGGGTAAAGCTTCACCCGTTACATGTTTAGTCGATAAAAAGAAAAACAAAAAGAGACAACTCGGGTTTCAGACTCTCGTGCGTTGTCGCAGGTGGGCCGTCAGCCAATCAGAGGGCGCGCTCTGAGTTCCGTGTTGCTGTGGTTTCCTTCCAACAGTCCAAGCAGGAAGTGCCAGAAGTGTTATTGTGGACGGCTGCTGTTCTCTCAGGTTCTCCAAATCATGGTAAGAATGTTGCTGCAGTTAATTTCCAAGCTTTGAGCTAAAGACTTTTCCCACTTTTAATCTTCTTCTTCTTTGGTTTATGTCCGTCACGATGATTGTTTCTGCGCTTAGAAAAACTTGGTGGTGAAATAAAAAGGCGCTTCATGAGTGAACCAACAGGTTTAAAGGTGCATGTGTATTAGATCGGTCACTGTAGAGAAACCTATATCTCCCTGCCTACTTATAACCTGTTGTATTTAGCTCCACAGATTAGCATTTTATTACACTGGAACTAATTATAGGCAAGTTTGCATTTGATCTCTCTTATATCAACATGTGATGGTGCTAAAGTAAAGGTGTGAACTTCACGACTTAAAGAAATAGTTAGACACCACGATATAATGCAATTACTGCTTTTATTTCGGGGATAAAATGTTATAAACCTACTGTGGTTTTTATATAGTTTACAGAATCCTATTTTGTCACTATGAACTTTATGTTTTGGTGTATTTTTTTGTCTAGATCAAAACTTACAATATTTTTTTAAGTAAAGGTTAAAATATAAACGCTTTTCAAGTGAAAGTGATGTATATTAGTGTTAAATCCTGTTTTCTGAGATAATATGAAATCCATTTCCATAATCAATATATAAATTCAACACTTTCCTTCAGATGTGATCTGATTAATAAGCAGATGTATGTAATGTTTTCCACATATGAATCCAGCCGTCCTTTGGAGGCCTGTGAGGTTCAGGAACATGTATGAACACACAGTGTCATAAGGACCAAAGAACCACAGCGGTAAGGTCAGAGTTCAAGTTGGAGTAGCTAAAAGCATCGTCTTGTTACCAAACAGTATAAAAAACTTGGAACATTTCACATATTTTCCAAAAATAAAATGATTTAGGCAGAAAAAGTAACATTATAAGTAAAGTAACAGGTCATATTAATCCCCATAGTAAGTGTGGAGATAATATGTTGATTCACAGTCAAAGGTTTGTAATGAAAGTTGGTGGCGACAGCCGGGTAACGCCACAGTTACTCCACCCGGACGCTTTCATTAAGCTTTTTATTTTCCAAAAATTAGCTCAAACATATATTTATTGAATGCTGCTTTTGTTGAGAACACAAGAGTACAATAACACAATAATATTTATATTTCTAGATAGTTAGATAACTTTTAGTGCATTAAATATTAGGGATGCACGATATAATCGGCCCCCTATCGGTATCGGCCTTAAAACTGAATATCGGACATCGGCCACCCCACCGATATTTAACCCGATATTTGATCAGCTTCTGAGTTTCTAAAGTCTAATAAAAAAAAAAAAAAAATACTACTTCTTCTTCTTCCTCAAAAACTTCTTTTTTACAGACTTAAAAACTTCTAAAGACGAGGGAAAAAATATTGATCCATTAAAATATCCCAATATCTTCCTATGCTGATATATTGCCATTTAAAAACACCATATCAATCTCTTTTACTAATGAAATATTGCTATATGTCATCGTAATGCTACGAAATCCCCCGAAAATTCACGAAATTTTGCCATATTTTTATATGTTGATATATTGACGCGGTATCGATCTATTTTACTAACAAAATCTCACGAGAATTTCCAAAATATCATAATAATAAATTTCACGAGATTTTGAAAGTAAAATAGATCGATACCGCGTTTTTAAAAATCAATTAGATATCAGCATATGAAAATATATTTGAGTATATTATTTTTCAAAGTGTCAGAAATGGATAACAAAACTGCTATTTTCAATGACTACTTATTTTTGTCCAGCTTTAACATCGGTATCGATATCGGTTATCGGCTACATGAGTTTTAAAATATCGGCATATCGGATATCGGCCAAAATCCCAATATCATGCATCCCTATTAAACATATATATATATATATATATATATATATATATATATGAATAACAGTTTAATCCGATGCCAAAATCGATATATCATCCATGCCTAGAAGTACGATTTCAATTCCATCCATCCATCCAAAAAAATATGGACTTGTTGTATTTTAAATATAGCATTGCATTGTTTTTTTCCTGTAAACCTTCTGGTAAACTTGGAAATATATTTTATTGCATGTTGCATTTCCCAGTAAATCTGTTTCACCTTTAAATCTGCAGCTCTCACTATTTCTCTCTGTGCTCTTTTTAAAGAAAATGTATAAACCTCTAATATAATGGTGCCAGAAGCAAAATCTCCAGATATGTAGAAGCTCCGCAGTCTGATTCTGTCTGCACAATAAGAAAACGTGTGTTCATTTAAAACTGTAAATAGGAGTCATGGTCCTCTGAGAAGCCCAGCTTTTACAGAACACAACATTTAAACTGTGTTTTCTCAAACTTCTTGCAATATAATTCTAACTTGTATAAACTTATAGTCTGTTGCTGGGTTTGCTGAGAAGCTCTGTAAGTCTGACGAACAGATTTTTCTCTAATTTTGAACCAGTCCGTCTCCTTTCTTTTACTTAAAGGAAATATATCGAAGCAGCTGCCGGTTAAATTGACTGAGTGCTGCCGTGTGTCTCTCCTTCAACCACGTAGATACTATGAATGTCAGTGAAATGCGACCACAAATCAGATGTCTCAAAGCGACAGATCCGATTATGTTACACCGAGAGGCAAGAAAAACGCTCTGAACACAGATAGCTGCAGCCAACCTCTGTTACCTTAGGTTAAGGTAAATGGTGGGGTTATTGGTGGGGTCTGTCTCCAGGCCAAAGTTGGTGGGTGGGGATATGTCCACACCGGTCCTTCAGAACGTTACGCCTTTGTTCACAGCTACTCATTATGCAAACAAACAAAAAAAAAAAAACATAAAACATATTGTGTCCAAGTCTTCACAGTACTTTTTTTTATTTATTTTATTTTACGACAAAAAACATAAAAACAGAATAATGTTTCAATAAAAAAGAAAATGTGATGGACAACTGCTGAAAAAAACCCCAAGGGGCTTAATGAGTGGCAGTCTCCATTAAAAACTAATATATTTCACCATTTCAGACAAACAACAACATTTCTTTGTATAAAACAATTTAAAATATCTATTTAGACCACAAATCCATATGGAAAATTCAGACAACTTAGCAGCAATTTTACTCTCCGTTTAAACTGTGGATGGAAGAGCGGTCAATGTTTGGTGAAAACTAACAATTACTATTATTCTATCATTGCAGTGGAAATGACATCATCAACCTCTTTCGACATTTTTTCAATGTATAATCTGACTTGCAGATTATCCTGCATCCCTCAAAGTTCCACTTATTCAGTTAAACACACAAATAACATAACATAAGCTTGGTTTACGTAGATACAGAAGGTAGCATTAATGTTCTATTCCTTTATGATGTAATCCACAGCGTGTGAAAATCAATGGAGGTGCTTCCTCCCATCTTGAAACTGATACGCTCTTCTTTCAGTGACCCTTTCAGAATGAGTAAGCGTAAAGCCAGCGTGATCGTTGATGCAGCTACTCTGAAGAGCCGGCGACTGACAGCTGCAGGAGCTGAAAATAATGCAACAGACACAAACCATCAGGGATTACCATCAAACATCTTCACTCCCTCCCTCTCGGTATCTATTTTGTTTGCTCCTTTTCTCTGTAAATCTCTCATTATGTTATTTTTTTTAAACGTTCCATCATGTCGTTAGATGATGACTGATGTTTTCCTCTGTGTTTAGGGGGACATTGGGCTCATTGAAAGCATCTCCTTAAAGAACTTCATGTGCCACCACTCTCTCGGACCGGTTCAGTTTGGGCCCCACGTGAATTTTATTGTGGGGAACAATGGGAGTAAGTAGCCTACATCTAAAACACACTGGTGTGTTCTAGATATTCACACATTCTATAGTTTGAGGAGAGTCCATCTTTGAAGTGAAACAAAACAACAGACATTACACTTAATTAAAGCTTAGTTGTATATCTGAGCTTTAGAACACTTCGTTACCCTGAAGAATCTTATAAGCAGAGATGGGAAGTAACTAAGTACAAATACTTCGTTACTGTACTCAAGTAGATTTTTCTGATATTTTTACTTTACTTTACTACTTATTTTTATGGCGACTTTTTACTTCTACTCCTTACATTTTTACACAAATATCTGTACTTTCTACTCCTTACATTTTAAAAAATTGTCTCGTTACTTTAGTTTTGAATCATTTCAATGGAGTTACCGTTATTATTTTTCACGTCATCAATACCAAATTCAATCTAATTGGATGGGAATCTACGTTGCATTTGACGCACCACTACAAGATGAATCGACAGATTCGGCGGTATTCATTGGCGGCAAATCATTGCAGCTTGGTGCCGGTGGCGTTAGCATAGTAGCATGGACGACGAGATGATTGAAAATGAACACAACGGAGATCTAGTCCTATTGGCAGACATCCATTTAAAATGTAGGCAACGGCATGAAAAAAGTGGTTTCTACTTTTACTTTTATACTTTAAGTAAATTTACAAGCCTGTACTTTGTTACTTTTACTTGAGTAAAGAAGTTTAATCAGTACTTCCACTTTTACCAGAGTATTTTTTAACACAAGTATCTGTACTTTTACTCAAGTACAGAAAGTGAGTACTTTTGCCATCTCTGCTTATAAGTGAGATAGTTTAAAATAAAGCATTATTATGTGTCTATAAGGTGAAAGTTAATTTTAGCTGTAGTAAACATTGGTGATATACAGTTCCTGTCCTCTAGTGTTTCCTGTAGTTCTGTGCATAACGGTGACTGACTCGCTTTACATGCACTGATTCGATACCCTTTATCTGCTTGTGGCGTTTTATTCCCAGGTGGAAAAAGTGCCATTCTGACCGGCTTGATTGTGGGCCTCGGTGGAAAGGCCACTATGACAAACAGAGGGCTGTCACTGAAGGACTTTGTAAAAAGTGGAGAAAAGTAAGCTGGTGGTGAATCCCATTGGTATGGAAGTTAAACTGTGCTGTTGGGATTTAAATTAAAAATGTCACTGAAATATAAATGTTGTATGTTTGTACTTACTCTGTGTTAAAATATATTCAAAAAACATTTTCAACCTAAAAAAAAATCATTTTCACTATATCTATATAGTTGAAATTTTATTTGTTATTTTCAATTCAAGCTAAAAATTCACATTACTATTTCATAGTTAATACATTTTCAGTACCTGTTTTTTTTTTTTTTTTTGACTTTTCAGTGTTAAAAAAAGCAGCATTTAAAAAACTTCAGCCTCTTAAAATTCAAACTCAATATTTTCAGCCTCTTGAGATTCAACTGGCTCAATTTCACCGTGTTCAAGTCGGCGTCTAAATTCAATGTTAAAAGGGAAAGGTTACTTCAGGTCACAGACATTAGCAATGGATTGAGGCGTCCAACACCCAGCCAATCCCGTTACAGTATCTTAGTCACGTGACGGGACATTTCTGCCGCTTATACTGAAGGAAAACCCTTATGCTACGTTCACACCGGACGCAGCAAAAGCAGCAAAATCGCGTCTGCTGCTTCATTTTTGCTGCTTGTACCAGTTAGTTCTGACGCGCAGCTGAAGCAGCTTTGCTGCTCTGGCTGCGCGGTGCAAAAGTGTGTCTGACGAGCGTTGGGCGGAGCTACTCTATCCTTTCTCTGCCTTGCAGCTATATTTGCTGTGATCAGTGGGAATAAAGTAGTTTTATTATGTTTTTAAGTGAGAAAATACACCTGAAAACTTAATCAGTGCAGTCAGTTCATCCAGATTATCATCCTGACTTCTAATACTATTTCTATCGGAGCCGCTCAGACCCCCACATACCGGCGGTGCGCCGACAGTAGGAATCCCTTCAACAGCAGCCTCTGGCCGGGTCGCCTCCTGGCGGTTCACCGCGGCGGCTGGCAGGTGTTTTCCATCTAAATAATCCGATCTGCAGGCAGCAGAATAATAAAAGCGAACATATTCTGCCAGCAGATTTCTGCATTTTAAGTTAATTTATGCGTCAATAAACTGTTTCAGAGGAGCGATCACAGCGCTCTGTATCATCAGCGATGTGTCTCTCTCCCTGCCAGCTCCCAGATCAGCTTCTCCGAGCAGCAAAAGTTAAATTTTTCCATCTCGAGCAGCAGCGCGTTGGTGGCGCGCCATGAGCGTCAGATGCTTAAACACGCCCGACGCGCTGCTTCAGCTGCTCAGATGCGTGGGACCTTTTGCTGCGCCTTGACGTGCGTCAACCATTGACTTTGCATGTAAACTCGCTGCTTCTGTCGTGCCTGCTGCGTCCGGTGTGAATGCAGCAATAGACATATATGTCTATGGGAAAACCAGCATCACGGAGGCGGCGGTCATTCAAGCTAACGCTGACGCATCGGTGAATTTGTTGCAATTGCAACTTGTTGCAATACTACACGTGACTAAGAAACTGTAACGGGATTGGCTGGGTGTTAGTCGCCACAATCCATTGCTAATGTCTGTGACCTGAAGTAACCTTTCCCTTTTAACACTGAATTTAGACGCTGAATTTAACAGTGAAATTAAGGCAGTTGAATCTAAGTTGCTGAAAATATTGAGTTTAAATTTTGAAAGGCTTAACTTATGTTGCTTTTTTTTTTTAACACTGAAAAGTCAAACTGAAAAAAAAAACAGGTACTGAAAATGTATTAACTGTGAAATAGTAATATGAATTTTTAGCTTGAAGTGAAAATAAATGAAATTTCAACTTTATAGATATAGTGACAATTATTTTTTTTTAAGGTTGAAAATGTTTTCTGGATATATTTTAACACAGAAAGATTAAATACAAACATACAATATTTATATTTCAGTGACATTTTTAATTTAAATCCCAGCGACACAGATTTACTTCCATAGATTAGCCTTTCTATAGAAATGCTACAGGTAGAAAGTGATGGAGGTGTGCTATTTTTCTCAGTACTGCAGATGTAACTGTAAAACTGAGAAACAGAGGAGCAGATGCTTACAAAAAGGATCTGTACGGTGACTACATCATTATTGAACAACGCATATCCAGCGATGGATCTCGGACTTACAAACTCAAGAACAAATCAGGTAATTTTTCACAGATACACAGAGGCTGATGCTTTCTATTACATTTATTAACATCAATGAGGCTTGGGTTTATCTTTGGATTAGATTTTTGCATAACTTTAGCCTGATTCCAGCCCCCTGTTGGACTGCAGATACTCTGTATAGTTTTGCACCACCTCCCTGTTTTACAGTAATAAATAGTGATCATTAATTTTATGAATGCAGAAAAGCTCGATTTCTATGATTAAAACTACTGTTTTCCATTAATCTTGGTTCAGGGAAAGTTCATTGGTCTTCCTTTGAGACCGATCTGCAGTTATTGTTAATTTTACTTCAAGAAAAAGCTTTAAATGCTAAATAAAATGTGGTCACAGTAACTGGCAAACCTTAGAGGCTAGAAACAGAGAAAAATTTAGCTCCCTTGCTTTAAAGGTAATTTTAAAGGATGATACATTGCTGTAAAGTAGGGCTGCGCAGTAAACCAACTTGCAGTATCACAAACAAAGGAGGCCTACTTAGGCAATCAGTTACAGTCTACAATGTTTGCTTGTCTATATATTTTTGTTTGTTTAGAAAAAGTTAGGCGGAAACTGGTCAGGGATGCTGGGAAGAGGCTGAAAGTAGAGCTGAAGGAGCTTCAGGACTTTCCAATAACTACTAGCTGTATTCTCAATGCTGTAACAGTCCTTTCTATTCTCCACATGTCTTTGCTAAAATATCAGTAAACTATAGAGAATGTGTTATGGTTTGACAAAACCCTGTTTTAACATTTCGGGCACAATTTCATAGTGAAGGAAACAAGATGTGAAGCGATATTTATATGAAATAAACTGGATTTGATATTCCATTCAATCGGTCATTTAACTCTTTATATCGTTCTGTCTGTAAATAAATCTACTACTGTTTTTATATAACATATTTTATTACACAAAAGTCTTTTATTGTCTGCTTTGTTTCTGATACAATTGGAGCTCAGCGGCTCACTCAGCATTGATAAAGTACCTTTAATCTAATCTAATCTAATCCAGTTGGACTGGATTGGTTTTTTGTAAAGCTCTGTATAATTTGGAGCTGTTTGTTTTCAGTTCAATTCGGTTTAAGTATATAGCGCCAATTCACAACACAAGTCACCTCAAGGTACTTTACAGAAACAATTGAACCGGATCATCCAGTCAAATTGAATCAAAGTTTTCTATCTAAGGAAAACCAGTTGATTGCATTGACTCATTGACTCTTCAGCAATCCCTCACACCAAGCATGCTTGTAGCAACAGTGGAGAGGAAAAACTCCTTTTAAACAGGAAGAAACGTCTTGCAGAGCGGCCATCTAACGAGGCCGCTCACACTAATATTAGTGGCGAAATAGTGCCATATTACAAAAGTTACAGTGATTATATTAAATATGCCTACAAATAACTTATACCAACTTTATAAAAGAAAATGTAGTTATTTGATTGTTCCTGAGCTGGTTACGGTGAGCCGATATCTCTTTTTTCTTTGCTTTTAACAAAGAATCTTATTTATGTTTTGGTATACAGGTCAACTGGTGTCAAACAAAAAGGAAGAGCTGATAGCAGTTTTAGACCACTTTAACATCCAGGTAACAATTAGAAATCTGCTTATTTTAATAGTCTGTGGTTCAAGGTATCAATGAAAGGTTTTATCTTGTGCGTTCCAGTTGGATAACCCAGTATCTATTCTAAGCCAAGAAATGAGCAAACAGTTCCTGCATTCAAAAAATGAGTCGGACAAATATAAGGTACGCTAGCTTCTGTTTTTTAATGGGTCAGCTTTGCTGTTGCCATTTTAAACTAATGCGGCGTCTCATGATTTCTAGTTCTTCATGAAAGCAACTTTACTCGAGCAGATGAAGAGAGATTACATCCACATCAAGCACACTGAAACAATCACAAGACAACAGGTGGAGAGGCAAGAAGAGGTATGATGGATGGATGATGGATGGATGGACTGATGGACTGATGGACTGATGGATGGATGTAGGTATGGACGAATGGATGATGGATTGATGATGGATGGATGATGGATTGATGATGGATGGATGATGGATTGATGATGGATGGATGGATGGATGATGGATGGATAGATGATGGACGGATGGATGGATGGATGGATGGATGGATGGATGGATGGATGGATGGACGGATGGACGGATGGATGGATGGACGGATGGATGGATGATAGAAGGATGGATGGATGGATGGATGGATGGATGGATGATGGATTGATGATGGATGGACTGATGGATGGATGGATGGACTGATGGATGGATGGATGGATGGATGGATGGACGGATGGATGGATGGATGGATGGATGGATGCATGGATGATGGACGGATGGATGGACGGATGGATGGATGGATGAATGGATGATGGATGGATGGATGGATGGATGGATGATGGATTGATGATGGATGGATGGATGGATGATGGATGATGGATGGATGGATGATGGATGATGGATGGATGGATGATGGATGGTTGTGGATGGGTGGGATGATGGATGGATGGATGGATGATGGATGGATGGGTGGATGATGGATGGATGGGTGGATGATGGATGATGGATGGATGGATGGATGGATGATGGATGATGGATGGATGGATGGATGATGGATGATGGTGGATGGATGATGGATGATGGATGGATGGATGGATGGATGATGGATGGATGGGTGGATGATGGATGGATGGGTGGATGATGGATGATGGATGGATGGATGGATGGATGATGGATGATGGATGGATGGATGGATGATGGATGATGGATGGATGGATGATGGATGGATGGATGGATGGATGGATGGATGATGGATGGATGGATGGATGGATGATGGATGGATGGATGGATGGATGGATGATGGATGGATGGATGGATGGATGATGGATGATTGATGGATGGATGGATGGATGGATGATGGATGGATGGATGATGGATGGATGATGGATGGATGGATGATGGATGATGATGGATGGATGGATGGATGGATGGATGGATGGATGATGGATGATGGATGGATGGATGATGGATGGATGGATGGATGGATGATGGATGATGGATGATGGATGGATGGATGATGGATGGATGATGGATGATGGATGGATGGATGGATGGATGGATGATGGATGGATGATGGATGGATGATGGATGGATGATGGATGGATGGATGGATGGATGATTGATGATGGATGGATGGATGATGGATGATGGATGATGGATGGATGGCTTTTCATTGCTCTTAATTATCACTCAAAAATAATATTACAAAATGACTTTATTGTTTATAGATGTGCTAAAATATAATTACTTCAGTCTAGTTTTAGAGATACGCAGCGTTCCCCTTTTAGGAAATGAACTGGATTGTCCTTTTAAAAATAATAATTTTAGCAGGAGTTTTTAGAACAATATAATACATAAGAAATAGATAAATTTGATTTCTTACCTTTGTTAAAACTCAGTCTAAGTTGGTTTATCACACTGCTATAACTTAAATCCAATTAAATTGGTGAGAACAGTATTTACAGCATAGACAGGTTCAATTTATATTTAATTACATGTAGAATCCAATTATGTCCAAAATAATTTAACCCCAGTTTAGCTAATTTAAATCTAATCCTGTCTTACTTTCAAACTTAATGGGTTTGAATTAACTCCTAGTTAGGATTACCTTGTGATTAGATTGAATTATCTGTTTAACCAGCAGCTTCTATCAATTGCTAATCAGGTCAAGTAGACCAAGTCATCTCTGATTGGAGGCTTCATATCAAAGAGAGATAAAAATTAAGTTGTTTATAATCTTCTAACATATATCTGTTCTGTAAGGAGTGTTTGCTCTGTCCGTTAGACCACCTGGTTGGTCTTTAACAGCCAGTCTTCAAATTCACGCCTGTTAGTAGCAGCACTACTTAAAACTGTCAGAGGTTTCCGTTTCCATGTTTTGTTTTTCCGCTCTGCTGTTTCCACTAATTGTTCTCTTGTGAAACACGCTAAAAGATCTGTTTTCAGGGGTGGCTAAGGAATGAATCTGCTGCTAATAAAAGTTCAGCCCTTTAATTATGTTTATATATATATAAAAAACTAGATTGTGTTTATCTTTTGTTTTGTGTTCAGAGCCTCAAGGACCTAAAGCAAGAGTTCCTACAGAAGAAAGAGCGATATGAAAGCTTGTCATCTTTCAGCGATCTGACGGAGACCTTGGAGAACCTGAAGAAAAATATGGCCTGGTGTTTGGTAAGAGCTTATCTTATCTGCTTTTTTAAACTATGGTATTTTTATTTTTTGTTTATTTTTTATTTTTTTAGCTTGTTGCTTGCAATTTCTACATTCATTTCCACATCCAAAATCAAGAGTATTTAACACTTGCATAAAATAGATGAAATGTAAAACAGCAGAGGATTCAAGTTTTTAAGCAGTTAAGTTGTAAGAGATTACATTTACTACACTATTTAGCTGCTGAAATCACTGCATTCTGGGACGCCAATTCACAACTAGATATCGATTGATGAATACTGATTATTGTGATCAGATCCTTCATATGTGCTGCAGGTATTTTTGGGCCAATTATTACAGCTTATATTGCCTTTCCTACTTGCATTTACATGATAAAAATTATTCAACCATAGTAAATGTTACACAAGTTTTAATTAAAGAAAAAAAAAATGTTTACTAATAGTCAAACTGAGCATTAAGGATGGGTAGCAAATAAAGGGAGAGGAAATGTAAACATTTAATATGATCTGAACGTATGGCTGCTGAAGGTTTCCAAACTTTTCCTGCTGGGTTTCCATTTTTTTTTACAAGAAAGTTATTGCAGCCTGCAGTCTCTAACCCTGCTCCAGTTAAATAAATGCTGCAGTAAAATGAAGGACAATGTACTTTAAATCACTAAAACGACCACTTTAAAACGGCAATTATTTCTATTCTGTTATGTCAAAGATTTCAACATAACAGAATAAATAAACACTCTAACTGGGTAAGTTATTTATTTCATTTTTACCATGTCCCCTGCAATCACACCGTGTTACCCTTAGCCCTCTATCTCTATCAACAACTCACCCATCTCAAAGCACTTTACTTAGACATTTCAATCAGATCATACAGTCACATTATTTAAAAAGTTATCAACTGAATGTAGGAAAGACTCCTTTTCTAACAGGAAGAAACCTCAGCAGAGCCAGGCTCAGTGTGAGCTGCTTTCTCCCAAGGAAAGCTGCAGAAAATTAAAACTAACTCAAAAGCTCTGATCTATAAATATTTTCTATGTTAGAAAAGTTAACAGTTAACTAGCTCCTCTGGTAGCTCTGTGGGAAAGAAACGGTAAAGCTGATGAATTCTAAGCCTGTTTTCATGTCAGAAGGGATGAAAGGTAGCAGATATAGTTAGTCACAGTAAAAGCTGAGCCCTGTCTAGGAGAGAAACGGGACTTAACACTAAAAAAACAGGATCTATTCTATCATCGATAATCACTGTTGAGAGAGCAGTTAATATTTTGACAGGCGAGTCTGCATTAAATGTAAAAATGCCACTCTACACTCATCGGCCACTTTATTAGGTACCCCATGCTAGTAACGGGTTGGACCCCCTTTTGCCTTCAGAACTGCCTCAATTCTTGGTGGCATAGATTCAACAAGGTGCTGGAAGCATTCCTCAGGGAGTTTGGTCCATATTGACATGATGGCATCACACAGTTGCCGCAGATTTGTCGGCTGTACATCCATGATGTGAATCTCCCGTTCCACCACATCCCAAAGATGCTCTATTGGATTGAGATCTGGTGACTGTGGAGGCCATTTGAGTACAGTGAACTCATTGTCATGTTCAAGAAACCAGTCTGAGATGATTCCAGCTTTATGACATGGCGCATTATCCTGCTGAAAGTAGCCATCAGAAGTTGGGTACATTGTGGTCATAAAGGGATGGACATGGTCAGCAACAATACTCAGGTAGGCTGTGGCGTTGCAACGATGCTCAATTGGTACCAAGGGGCCCAAAGAGTGCCAAGAAAATATTCCCCACACCATGACAGCACCACCACCAGCCTGAACCGTTGATACAAGGCAGGATGGATCCATGCTTTCATGTTGTAGACGCCAAATTCTGACCCTACCATCCGAATGTTGCAGCAGAAATTGAGACTCATCAGACCAGGCAACGTTTTTCCAATCTTCTATTGTCCAATTTCGATGAGCTTGTGCAAATTGTAGCCTCAGTTTCCTGTTCTTAGCTGAAAGGAGTGGCACCCGGTGTGGTCTTCTGCTGCTGTAGCCCATCTGCCTCAAAGTTCAACGTACTGTGCGTTCAGAGATGCTCTTCTGCCCACCTTGGTTGTAACGGGTGGTTATTTGAGTCACTGTTGCCCTTCTATCAGCTCGAACCAGTCTGGCCATTCTCCTCTGACCTCTGGCATCAACAAGGCATTTCCGCCCACAGAACTGCCGCTCACTGGATGTTTTTTCTTTTTCGGACCATTCTCTGTAAACCCTAGAGATGGTTGTGCGTGAAAATCCCAGTAGATCAGCAGTTTCTGAAATACTCAGACCAGCCCTTCTGGCACCAACAATCATGCCACGTTCAAAGTCACTCAGATCACCTTTCTTCCCCATACTGATGCTCGCTTTGAACTGCAGGAGATTGTCTTGACCATGTCTACATGCCTAAATGCACTGAGTTGCCGCCATGTGATTGGCTGCTTAGAAATTAAGTGTTAACGAGCAGTTGGACAGGTGTACCTAATAAAGTGGCCGGTGAGTGTACATCAGCTGTAGTGGCCTTGAGGGTCCGGCTGTTGACCCCCTGCTAGGGCTATCTGTCAGCCTTTTATCTCCTAGGTCCTTACCCTGACTCACTGACTGTGTTCTGTCTGTGGGAACTTAGGGTCAGACTTTGGTTTTTCTCATTTAGAAGTGAAGAAATTTGCTTTTATAAAATAAAGTTGAGATGCAACTTTCATGGGAAGACATCTGTCCTCTCCATTTTTTTTACCCTTATTAACTTCAGTCGCTTTTCATATTTAAATACCTATGTGATCAACTGGAGGGCTCATTTACCGTTTTTCTGTGTTCCAAGAAGTAACCAAACATCTGTTTGTAATATTTTCCCAAATCCCTTTTTTTCCCCCTCAAGAAATCAAATTTGAATTGAATTGAATTTGCTTTAGTTCTTCATCAGGTAGTCAGTCCCACTTTGTATTTCCAGATAACATCTCATTTGGGTCCTAAAAGTAAATTATCTAAGTAAATATCTTGTCTATCTTATTAGGAAAAAAATAGGCTGGTATTTGTTTGTTTCTCTGTATTTTTCTGAGTGAAATGAAATATAAGGCTGTTTACTCTTGCAAAACCTGCAGACAAACAGAGTCTCTCTGAGCTGTTTTTAAATAAAGAAGAAAGAACCGAATTAGGGGTGAGGAAAAAAATCGATTTGAGCTCAAATCGCGTTTCTCACATTTAAAGATTCAGAATCGATTTTCATTTTCTTTAAAAATGATTTTTTTTGTGGGTGCGGATGTGCCTCATCAGGCACCGTAGTGTTTGGCGAAACCAATGAGCAGCGTGAGCTTTGCACAAGCATGCAGGCGTTAGCCTAGCAGGCTACAGAGTGGCGTCTAGTGTGAGCTACTCTGTTTGTTGCCGCTAAAGTATGGAGGACGAAGAAAAAGAAATTCAACCTCATGCGATTTGCAGAGATTGCAACGATAAAGCCTAAGCCTACCAATGGTGTATTTTACAACAGTTTTATTACCTCCAGTTTAAGTAGCTTGAGTGTAAGCTTCAAAGACATAGTGTTGTATTTGTACAAATTAAAAAATTTGAGCAATATAAATCCGAGACAACATACCTTTCGTGTTTACATTATTGCAGTAGGTAAATAAAACATTTACAATTATAAAGTCTTTATAAATGTTCTCTTCTTTCATGCCAGCGGACCGGAATAGATCCTGAGAATCGTTTTGAATCGTAAATTAATCGTTTCTGCATCGAATCGTTTGGATTTAAAAGAATCGGGAAAAAATCTAATCGTGGGAATCCCACAGATTCACAGCCCTACTCTGAATTATGATGGATGTTTCCTGCTTTTCCCACTGGGCTGATGTTTAACAGGTTGGTGTAAATAACCTGAATGTTTGATTCCCTTTAGGTCAGGGACAAGGAGCAGTCCATAGAGCAGCTGAAGGAGGACATTAAAAAGGAAGAGAAAAACAGAAAGCATGAGCATAACCTGCAGCTCTGTCAGGTACAAAACCATCGATCCCACTTTATTCAAACTTTCCAAGTCTGTTTATTAATGTTTCAAGCATTTATAACCAAATGATCAGGTTGTTCTCAGGGAAGCTTCTGTTCTTTTCTTTTGTCTTCATACAGTCAAAACTAGCAGAAACAGAGAAAAGGCTGCAGGTCATTAAAAAGCGAGCCGATGGTCTGCGAGAGGAGCAGAAGTCCCTCAGAGAGGATAATCTCACCTTCAAGCAGCAAGCAAAGATAACTAACAAAGCTCACAAAGAGCAGGAGGTATGCACTGGATGGGCCCTCTTTGTATAAATGATTGTCTGAGTTCTTAGTGTTTTATTTATACAAGAATTGTGTTTCCTAGCTTGTTTATTTCCGGGCTCTGAATAAACTTAAACAAACAGAGCGAGAGCAGAACCTTCTCCAGGAGAAAATTAACAAGGCCAGAGCAAGGTGTGGAGACGCTCCATTCTTTTATTTATTAGCTGAGATTCATTCGGTCAAACTACATCCCATGTTTGTTTTTCCATCAGTGAGAGGCTGATCAACAGCAAAGACGCCAAACGCTCCAAACGGCGTGCGACTCTGGGGGACCTGAAAGAGCAGCTGGCTGAGCTTCAGAAGACCTGCTCGCAGCTGAATGAAGACATCAAGAAGAAACAGCAGGCTCTCCTGAAAGGAAAAGAAGAGCAAGACAAGCTGAGGTACAAGAAAACCCTTTGTGGTGTCTAACTCACTCCCTGACTGATTATTGACCTCTGTCACCTCTCCTGTTTAACAGGGTTGAAGCAAAGACGGTGCAGTTTGCTTACGAGTCCAAGATGAAGAGAAAGAACCAGCTCCTCGCCAGTCGATCCAACAAGCTCAAGCGCTTTGGAGATAACGTACCCGATCTGATCGCTGCAATTGATGAAGCATTTGCTGCGGGACGTTTTATCAAGAAACCTGTCGGCCCAATAGGTAAAATAATCCTTTTTATGATGTTCTGACTTTATGTTTGCTTTTTGGTGTTTATTACAGTCAATTCCCAAAGATTACAGACCCTAAACACGCTGCCCCAGTGAGGCATTCTTCCCTTTGTCATGTTGAACCCACAAACTTCCAGCTACGTTAGTGAGATTGTGTGTCATAAACTAACATAATGTTTCTGTGGGGGTTTTTTCGGTGGCAAATAAAAAAGTGTGGCGTGTATATGCCCATTTAATCTGATACCTCCTGATATAATCCAGTGCAAACATTTACTAAATGGCCCATCTGGGCAGCTTTGTTTAACAAGCAGCTAAGGAACAAACTGACCGGTCAGGGAGAAAGACGTGGAGACATTTAAAGCAAAATAAGGATGTTAAATAATAACCCAATTAATCCATCGGTGGAAAATAAACCTGTTTAACGGAGGCCATAAGGAGTTTTATTTATACTGTGATGTGTGTCCGAGGAATAACACAGCTACCATTTAGCTGCCATCACAACGGTTCAAGGTAAGTTAGTCTGTAAGGATTGGAAGATTGATGGGATGTAATGCAGGAAAAACACCGTCTGTTTGGTTTGGAGGTCCAGTCCCTCAGATCAAATCATGCTTTAGAAAAGCTCAGACCCCTCAGAATCTTTGGGAAGACGGGAAGATAATTTAGTTTATTGACTCAAGAGCAGAGGTTAGCGGACCAGGGTCCGGACCCACCTGCTGGCTAATCCGGACCCAACCTGATTTAAAACATTTATAAATTTATACAAATGAGCCAATGAGCTGTCAGTCTGAGTTGCTGCTGCTGCTACTTTTAGACACAGCAGGCAAATCTGTGGCAATCATTAACTAGAGAATAGAGACTGTAAAATCTGCCTTCAGCTGACAGAGCGACCCATTTAGAGCAGTAGCTATATTAAAATTGTAAAAAAAATATATATAAACATTTTCCATTTAAATAGGTTTTTCTCTGTCAGTATGCTCTATCCAGAACTCCTCAAGTTTTTAATTTCACCTGGTTTAATTTTGTAAAAAATCTTGTTTAAGGAACCTTAAAGAAGATTCGATTATTATTCGATTAATCAAAAAAATGATTGACAGATAGGCCTGTCACGATAACAAATTTTGCAGAAAGATTAATTGTCTCAAAAATTATTGCGATAAACGATAATATTGTTTGAAGACCTTTTTACTCTGATTTAATGGAAATGACGTAATAATGCATGTGATTTCCTGCCAAAGATAAACACACTTTATTTTCAACAGAACACTTAACACTGGAACTGGTTAACAAAATAAAACGAGAAATAAAAATTAAAAAGATAAAGATAAAGAAGATTAAAAAAAAAGATAAAACCACAGTGAAAAAAAAACCACAGTAAAAATAAAAACGTATGTACAAAATATCACGTTGGTGATATGTACGTTTTCTGGGGAGTTCATCCTGTCTATCAAATGTCTGCAACATTTTTCGAAATGTCGGCTTTTCAACAATATTAAATGGAAGCGTCTCTTTAGCAAATAAATGAACTACGCTGTCTGTGAGCGCGCGTTACTTTGCTCTGTCCTTTTTGTATGCTGCCTGTCGATTAATTGCTTCAGTGATGGTGGACTGTCGCAAACTTGAAGACGCAGACGGGCCACCGCTTGTACTTTTTGTTTCCAGCTGGAGAAACTTTGCTGGGTGGTTGTGCTTTAGCTGCATGTGTAGGTTTGTTGTATTGCTGCTCTCTGTTGCTACTGTTTTATGACAAATGCGACATACTGGCTCGCATAGGTTCAGCGGTTGGCCTCGGTCATTTGGTTTGAATCCGAAATACTCCCACACTGCGGCTGTTGCGCTCGGCTTTGAAACCAGTTCCATTTCTAGCTTTTTCCTCCAACATATGATGTGGGTTTTTTTTTACCTCGCTAACTCCTCTAACTCCTCATGGGGCTCTAAAGCTGCAGAAGCACAAAATGATGCGCGCTGACTACCTGATGCGATGGTCCACTCCTCCTCCCTCTTCAAAAATGAGGAAGAGGAGGGGTCAGTGGATAGCACCACAGTAAAGCTTTTTCATACAGCATCATCAATAGAAGGAGAAAAACACAGGCAGAGACGATATAGCCGATAAATTAAATGACGTGGATAATTTTTATTTATCGTGCGATTAATCGATTTATTGATTATCGCGACAGGCCTATTGACAGATTAATCGATTTTAAAATAATCGTTAGTTTTGACCCTAAATATTACAGAAAACTAATTAAGGATTTTAATTCATTTTGCGATGTTTCAAACACAAACATCTCAGAATCTTATGTGACGGACGGGAACATGACGCCACATAACGGGGAGATGGAAGAAAAATGATTCCCCCCCCCCCCCCCCCCCCCCCCAAATAGGAATCTGAAAAGTGTGGAGCGCATTTATATTCAGAAACTCTTAGGTCAGCGGTCCCCAGCCTTTTTTGCACCAGGGACCGGTAATATGTCAGACAATATTTTCACGGACCGGCCTTTAAAGTGTGGAGGGTAAATATGATCAAATAAAATGATACGACTGGCATAAAAGCAAATACAAACAGCATAAAAATAAAACTCACCATTATGTTGAATTAGTTGGAGCCCTGAGCTTGTTTCTCCGGAACAAGCCGGTCCCATCTAGGCGTAATCGTAGACAATGACAGACGAAGTGTGCTCCTGATGTCCAGTCTGCTCCGTAGCTTTGCTTTGGTCGATGTAACCGCAGAAAATCCCGCTTCACAAAGATAGGATGTTATAGATAGGATGAGTCTTGACCTGAATTAACCTGTGTCAAGAGGCAAAGATGCACCGACTCATGTAATTGGAAGAAAATACCACTTTTTTTTTTATATTTTTCAAAAATAAAACATCACTCAGACTCTGATCGTCAATAAATTATATATATATATATTTTTTCTGTGTGACCCGGTACCAAATGACCAACGGACCGGTACCGGTCCGCGGCCCGGTGGTTGGGAACCGCTGTCTTAGTGAATAATAAGTCTGTACAGTTCACTATAATTTACTGCTACGAGTCTTTCAGTTGATTTTTTTACCAGTCAGGGTTAACTGTTTTTTATTTGGAAGATCATCAGCTTAATCTAAATATGATTGAACCGTGTGATCATTACAGATTCATATTATTAAGGTCTGGACTTTGATTTATACATTCTAACGGATGAAGATGCTTTGTTTTAAAAGTGTTAAAGCTCATTGTCGTTCCAGCAGATGAACCTATAACCCAGATTCAGAGTTTTCCTCAATTATTGCCCAGTTTCCGGCTCAAAAAAGTTCACATCAACTCTGACCCACTTCTATGTCCCCGTTTAAGATAAAGTTGCCACTACTGTGGTGTTTTCCTTGGTCTTCATTATGTTGAGACTGCATGTTACACAGATGCATTTCATTACCAGTTGCTTAGCTTCTAAAGACAATTGATAACAGTGAAGTTAAGGGTTCTCAGTGCTGATGCACACCACATTTAGCAGTCTTAGTAATTGAAAATATGTATATATAATATAAACCCTGGTATTATTTTCACTATTAGATTACATAGTGTTGGTCTGTGGCATAAATAATACTCATATGAAAGATGCATCTAAGTCTGTGGCTTTGTAAAATAATCCTAATCCCTTTTTTAACATTTCTACACAACAGTGCTAACTTGAGTCTGTATTTGGATGCAGGGGCGTGCATCAGCATGAAGGACCCCTCTCTGGCTGTGGCTGTGGAGTGCTGTCTGCGGAGCTTTATGAAGGCCTTCTGCTGTGACAACTACAAAGACGAGTCGGTCCTGCAGGGGCTGATGTCTCGCTTTTACCCTAAAGGCAACAGACCACAGATCATTGTGAGCTCCTTCTCTGATAAACTCTACAACGTTCACGGACGGTAGGATATTGATTTCGTTTTTGAGGTTTGTATTTGTTTAATGCAGCCTGTTTGATTATAATGTTCTTTTCTAATATTTACAGAAAGGCATGTCGTCCAGATTACCAAACCGTGTTGGACACGATCACAGCAACAACTCCGGTCATCTTAAACTCCCTGGTTGATATGAGGGGGATAGAAACCATTCTCATAATCAAAGTTAGCATCTTTCTGAGTCCCTTTTTTAATTCAGTGTGTCTGAGTTTTTTTGTTTCTCCACCTTCTGCTTTATAATACGTGTTGATGTGTGCTTTCAGGAAAAAGACAAGGCGAGGAAGATCATGCAGAGAGGGCGGCCTCCAAAAAACTGCCGTGAAGCCTTCACAGCAGAGGGAGATCAGGTGTTCCCAAACCGCTACTATACCTCTGAATTCAGCATGGCCAAGTACCTCAGCGGGGATATCGAGGCCGAAATACAGTGAGTGCTGTGAGCTGTATTCATTCCAGAGGGCATCCATAGGGTACTTTTTATTCCTCCAGATCTTAAAGGCACACTATGCAACATTTTTCAGTTAATTAATGTGTTCCATAACGTTATGGATGATTAAATGAGTCATTTCAGGTTGAACAAAGGTTTTCTCGGCCGCCCTGGTGGTCTGTGGGGGAAATACCGCACTTGCAATTGCAGGAGCACCGACCCGCACCCACAGGCTCAGAAGTCTCGCGAGAGTCAGTCTTGCTTTACGGCGAGAACTGCTACACGCCCCCAGTTAAAAGCACGCTCGTTGCTAGCACAGTAGCGATCTTTGTGCAGTGCTGCTTTCACACCGGACGCAGCAAAAGCAGCAAAATCGCATCTGCTGCTTCATTTTTGCTGCTTGTACCAGTTAGTTCTGACGCGCGGCTGAAGCAGCTTTGCTGCTCTGGCTGCGCGGTGCAAAAGTGTGTCTGACGCGCGTTGGGCGGATCTTCACTATCCTTTCTCTGCCTTGCAGCTATATTTGCTGTATTGCTTTATTATCAGTGGGAATAAAGTAGTTTTAATGTGTTTTTAAGTGAGAAATTACACCTGAAAACGTAATCAGTGCCGTCAGTTCATTCAGATGAACTGACGGCACTGAACTGCTTCAGCTGCTTAGACGCGCTGCGCCTGCTGCTCAAAACGCACCGCAGGACCTTTTGCTGCGCCTTGACGCGCGTCAACCATTGACTTTGCATGTAATCTCACTGCTTCTGTCGCGCCTGCTGCGTCCAGTGTGAACGCAGCAGTCATTTGTTGCGTTCGCCTGTCTGCTAAGCTCAAAAAAACCGCGCCTGGCTTGACGGAGAAACCAGGAGAACAGCTGTGCATATTTACGACAGTGCACTTTTACTTTCGCCCTCTGGGGGGAGCCTCGCTGGAAAATCAACACCGGTTGCATAGTGTACCTTTAATATACTGGAACCATTTATTCACCTTAGCTGTTTATTTGTTTTCAGTGTTGGGTTTCAAACTGTTCTCTGGCTCAGAGCGACTCCTCCTTCAGGAGATCTGCTGCAATCTGAGGACACAGACCTCTGCAGAAGAGTCTAGCATGATTTAACCCTTTATAGGGCGCTCAGTGAAATACTTTGAAATTCTAAATGTCAAGTCAAGTGTCATTGGAGGACAGGGCAAGCCCTTATTAATTATAAAAAAAATATATATATATTTTAATGGCAAAAATCAAAGCTAATGTAATGTTACTATAATGCGTAATTTACCCTAAATATGACTAAAAAATAAGAAAATAAATTATAAATACAAATTTTTATAAATTTACAAAAAAGGAGTAAATACAAAAATAAAGTCTTAAATAAATGGAGAAATATGAGAAACAAACCAAATGATCATTTTTCCTGACAAAACATAGGTATGAATTTATGTTTTATTAATGTATATACATGTATTTATTAATATTTATATTAAATGATGTATTAATTTAGACATTTTTATATACATTTATTTGTTTTTCATATTTATTTTTGGTTTGGATTGCAGACTCTGCAGACGTTTGTTGAAAAGTGATGTTTAAATCGAAATTAGCAGAGATGCTAACTTTAACGATTGTAAGGGAACCAAACTTAAATAAGGACAAAAGATGTAAAAAAAAAAAAAAAGTAATTTAATAGTGTCAAAAATATTTAACCAAGGCTCAAAAGCAATACAAAATAGCTTAAATAATAAATAATCTGGATTTTGGGCCCAAATTAGCTGAGGTCAACTGAACAGGAACTAACTGATAAAGAGCAGAGGCTGCTTAAATAGGGGTGGAATAAGCTCAACTCGCTACATGAGGGAGGCACAATATAACAGAGAAGCAATAAAATAATTAAAAAATCCATACAAAACTAAAACGTAAATACAAATAACTGTTTAACTTAGCATAATGAATTGAATATTAAGTTGATAAATAACTCAAGTAAACTTCCCCCCTCAGTTCTTGTAAATTGGTTTGTTCCTGACTGCTTCCTCCTCCAGCTGATCTGCATGAAACTATTCAAACTTTGTGGTGGAGGTAGAAGGATCCACCACAACGATAAAGGGTTAAAAAAAACATGAAACGAGTCTAGTGAATGAATTACCATAGATTGTTTAGAAGCCATGCTCTACTTCATCAAAGGTGTGGATATGTGTTGGTAAAAAAAGTTTTTAATTATCAGTGTGACTCCCGGAAGAAAGAAAAGGGGGAAAAAAAGACGGCTAAATATAAAAGGTTTATATTTAGCCGTCTAAAGACATAATTTATGAACATTTCATAACCGTTAAGCTCCAGAAGTTAATTAAAGCAGACTTTAATTCAGAGGATGTTGGTCATAATCCAAAATCATTAATGTTTAAAGTCTGTGAGATGAGTCTCGTAGGAGGAAATCTTATTTCATTGCAGTGACTTTTAACTATTTCCTCATTTTGAAAGCTATCCTCACATTTCTGCATAATTTTACCCTGAGTAATTTCATTTCCCTGAATCCACACTTTTTTGAATCATAGATTTTGGGATCTTAATTATCAAGGATTGTGTGCAATCTATAGTAAAAGAGGTCACATGGCCAAAATCCCGAAATGGCGAACACAAAAGATATTTAAGATTTATTAAACCAGGCGCACGCACAAAACCAGGCTAATTTTCAGCTCTACCCGCCCATATTTAACAGTATGAGGTGAATTTAAATAAGCCAGCTGATCGATGTTATTTTATGGTTACCAATGGCAACCATAGCAAAGAGAGCAAAAACAAAAAAAAAGCTCAACCAAGGCAGAAATAAAGGTGTGAGAGAATTAAAATAAATTTGATTTGTAGCCACAGTAGAGGCCTTACAAATACAAAAAGTTTTATAAAGTGTAAGAGAGTTTGATGTGTGGAATGATCCTAATAACAATAATAGATTGTTCATTGCACTGGCTGTTTATATCAGCGGTATGGATCAATTTAATGAATAATTCTGTTCATAAAAGTGGCTTCAGTCACAAAGTTAATTAATTGCTGATTATGTTTAACACATGTGAGGGAATTTGAGCTCATAAGAGCCGGTTTCCAGAAATCCCAGAGTGGTAACAGCTGTAATTGGAGAAAAAGACCCAAAAAATGGCATAAGATTTAATATGTGCAAGAAAGGGTAGTTTTTCAGATGTTTAATAAAATGCCTTTGGCTTCAGGCCACGTCCATTGTTCACCGCTATTAAATATATTACTTATATAATCCTTTAATTGTATAAATATATATTAAATTCTACCATAGACTGCTGGCTATCCAAATTTAATTGCATCCTCCCCTTTTTTTAAACTGGAGCTATGTGCACCGACCTTCTTTTATTTAACAAGCTTCATATTAAATCGCTTTAAATGTCTGAGAAGAATTATTCTGCAATCCAGCTTCAATTGCCTACCTCACCGTCCGCTTCACCTTTTTCCTCTTTCCTCGTAAATGCACATAAACCACTCTGTATGGGTGCACAATGGGGGGGCCGCAAGTTTGTTCTGGATCGCAACCTTTAGGTGGAAAGTGGAATGCTTACATTTTTTAAATGTTTATTCCCCATATTGTTGGCAGGATATGGGTTTGTCCTTCAGTCTTTGCTTGTCTGGCATTGTAGTTTCTTAGTATGGCTACCTGCTGAACTGAAGGCATCAAGCTTCACAGACACAGCTGCACTTGTGCCCACGGTGGAAATGCGCTTAAAGCCACACAGGAGGGAAGAGAGAGTTACTGCGACCACACAGATCTGAGCATGCTGATTATAAAAAAAGCTGATTCCAAATTAGGCAAATTGTAGTTTCCACATCCTGATTCTATAGTCAACAGGAACATGTTATGGGTAGGAAATGACACATTCAGATAGACCCCAAGTAAGCACTTTTCTACACAACAGTTAAATCCTGTGACAGTGAAAGGTTAGCTTTCAAAGTCATGAAAACAACGAACCCCTGGAGGGAAACATGTACATGCTTGTGGTTGGTGCAGAGGAAATTAAAACCAAATTGCCTTGAAAAATCTGATTATGAGACGAATGTTTGGTTCTCTGATGTCAGATTCAATCTAGAGGGGTAGATATCTGCTTGTCTTTACAAGTTACTGCATGACTTCTCAGTCTGCTGGTCCAAAGGGGTCTGCTGGCAGATTCTAAAACTCAGAAGGAGATGGTTTAATTTTGCAATATGACAGGATTTGTTGCTCTCAGTGGGCTTAAGCTTGAATATATAGGACTAGTGCCTCTAGTGGCTAAATATGCTGCTTCGATTTGTCTGTGAATATCTCCTTATAAGGGCTATAAAAGGAGCATTACTCTCTCGCTCCATCATGGTGGCAATGATAAAAGTCAGGACTTCCTTTAAATGAATATGACCTACAGGCAGTGTTGGGAAAGTTCTCTTTCTACGTGAATTAGTTCAAAGTTCAGTTCACACATTTTAAAATGAACTAGTTCAGTTGATAGTTCATAATTTAAAATTTTGAACTAGTTCAAAGTTCTTTTTTTCATATATTGCTCAATTACACCATAGCCTACTGTAGAACCACAGACAGCAATTATTTTATCAGTTGTAACACTGAAACTGTGCGTCAGATTTCATCTTCATATCCAGATTTGAATCCTTATCCAACCAGGGTTTACATTAGCATTGAGGGGACAGCATTTCCCCATTGTTGCTTTAACGCTTTGTTGCTGTCCATTCACTTCACACTAGTAGCAGCTGCAGCTTTCACCCCTACAGTATATTCTCAAAAACATCAGGAAAAATGTGCTGCTTGAATGGTCTTTTTTATGAGGAATTATTAAAAGAAAAAAAGGAAAGTAGTCTTTAAGGTGGAAATGTTTTTTTAATTTTAATATTTTTCCATTTGAAATTCCATTTCAGTACATATGCCGTTTCAGATTTGCTTTGGATGTTACTGAAATGTGGATTTTTTTACTGAAAGCCGGCGGGCAAAGTTTGCAGAGAAATGTCAGATTGTTGCCATCATCCTCACCGACCACCTGGTCATAAACCTGTTTTAAGTGATCATACTGCTGCTTTGTCGCCTCCACGGTCGCCTCCATGCTGCTGTGGCTTCCACGCTGCATTTTGTTTTGATGACGCACGCGGCTGTAGGCTACGACGCTGGTAGCTGGTGTTGCCAGATTGGGTGTTTTTCCCGCTACATATTAAGGCCTGTTTACGGTGTGATTTAGCCGGGGTTTCGCCTGGAGGACTCTATAGACTCTCTATAGAGTCTATAGACTCTATAGACTCTATAAATCTGGCAACCTGTTGAATGAAGTTGAACTGAGAGAGCGTGCCGTTCACAGACACCAGAATGAACAAGTTCACAATAACGTTCATCAGGCAGTAATACAGTACGTTCATTTCAAGTTCGCCCAAAATATGAACGAGTTCATGAACTTACGTTCAATGGACGGCTTCAGGCACAACACTGGCTATAGGTTTAAATGTTTCTAAATGTCCTTAGCCTCCCATCAGGACTGCTTTCAGGGAACATTTCCAAAGTGATGCAGTGCTGTAGTTCTTCAAATGGTTCGTTAGGCAAAAAAAAAAACAAACCCCAAAAACAATTACAGAACACACTTTGAGAGGGGGAAATCTAATCTGCATCTGCTGCCAGTTTTGAACAATTTTTTGTTGTTTTGTTTTTTGACAGATTGAGCCAAGCTAATTTTTTTTCTCTTTACAAATATTTAAATAAAAAAAAATTAACTTAATTACTGTAGGAGGTTTGGATATAACTGGAAAATGTGAGCTCTCAGCTGAGCTTCATTAAAGTATAAACTCTTAAATGGCTTTTATAGCTGTGGTTTTACTATAGACCTGGTTTAAAATTTGTCTATAATTCTTCAATATTTTATTAAAAATCTGTGTCTAGTTGGGACACAAAACAATGTTGATGTTATAACCAGCTGGTCAAATCTACCTTCATTTGTGTGATGTTCAAGAGCAATCAGGGAACCAGTAATGTCCAAGCCTGTAATGGATAGATAGTCTGTCACTGGGAACAAGCAGCACTGCCTGTAGTGAAGCAAGGTTAACGCTACCTCAGGCCCGGAGAGAGATGATCATGAAGGAAAAGGACAAACTTTAGATTATTTACTGTCATCTGAAATCAACAGATAAATGGTTGAAATTTAGATGCACTCAATAGAAAAATTTTAACAAATCCACATTAAAAATGCTTCAGGACCTTTTGAGATTAAAGATATTTTGTGGGATTTTCCTGAATTATTTAAAACACTTAAAAAAATAAATAAATGCACAGTTACAACCCTGTACCCGCTCCTTAGAAGGGAACGCCTATTAAACCTGTGTGAGAGCGTGCACGAGCCCATTTCTCCTCGTGCACAGTCTGTTTAAAAGTTGCTGTTGTCATAGCTCACACAAGCTTACTGTGCACGAACGTCGCCCAAACTCCTAAATCCTTCAATCGTTTTAGAGAGCGGGGAATATATAGTGGACTTTATAACAAACTCTGTTAACTGACCGCTCAGACAGATGATCACTGCTTTTTGATTCCTGTTAGTCACATAACTCCTCCTCCACCGCATGGGGCCTACGTCATCTTTGTTGTGCTGGTGAAGATTCTCAGTCATCCAGGTCGTAGTCATTCTGAAAAAGTTTAAAAAACAATCCACTGGACTTTGTTTCCAAGGTTTGAAGACGTTTCGCTTCCCATCCAGGAAGCTTTCTCAATTCAAAATGTCTAGATTCTCATTGAGTTTGATTTTGCTCTCTCATATAAAGCCTTGTTGGATTTTATAATGGTAGAATCTCAAAAATCAAGATGCCTTCAGATGATTATCTTATCTGCCCACGGATGGGGGGAAAAGCATTTATTTTGACAGATCAAACTGACATGCTGTCCTCAGTACAACGTATCACATCTCATCAGACAATCTCGGCTCATTACCAACTTCTCATTCCATCTCAGGCTGTTTTATAGTCTCAATATCGCACTGTGTGGATGCACATGCACGACGGAATATTGTGTCGCCATCTTACTGGAATTCCCGTGTGCTGGTCAAAGCCAAAGGTTGCTTTGACACTGAAAGAAAGTTTATACAGACGATCTCTGTTTACTCCTAACCTCCTTATATATTATCTAATTGCGTACAAATCAGCCCTTAGAGACCTTGTTGTTTCCAAGACTCATACTTGACCTTCAGCTTTGTTGCTAAGTAAGTATAAGGCCATGAAGGAGGCTATATAAGGCATAAAACTGTTTCAGCAGCCTCAAACTCAATGCGAATCCAGACATTTTGAATTGAGAAAGCTTCCTGGAAACGTCTTCAAGCCTTGGAAACAAAGTCCAGTGGATTGTTTTTTAAACTTTTTCAGAATGTCATCTTTGTTATTAGTCGCCTCTATCAGGTAGCAACAGCCTATGGTGACAGCGGGCCGCTTTGACTGCAAATCCCATAATGCGAGCCAGGAGAGCTCTCCGCGCAAAGCATTCTGGGATATATCTGCCTCTTCTGAGGCCTTTCTTTTTCTCTTATGACCTTTGGCCATTTTAAAAGAACCGCGGTGAGAAAGGAGAGCTTCAATGAGCTCATCACAGATATACGCCTGAAAGTGCGCATTTGCAGGAAAATATAGCTAATGGGACGAGCACATAGGACGGCCTTATGTAAACATATCACCTGAATGATTGACAATTAGGAGGACAACTTATTGAGAAGATCCCCCCTGAAATAAAAGATCGTCCTACATACCTTTAACCTATTATGTTATCACTCCTGTGTGGAGATTTAAAAGATCCTCGTTGTGTGACAGGTTGCTGGAGTCTGAAGTGGAGAATCTTAAAGCTCAGCTGTCCAGGTTTCAGCTTCAGGTGAAATCTGTCACAGAGGATATAGAAAGCATGGAGAGCAACCTGAACAACACCATCAAAACGCTGAAGAAGACTCAGGTCAGTGTGAAGCAACCTGTTGATTTAGTTTTACTTTGCAATAATGACCCTGTTTTTGTTTTCATTCTTTCCTTCTCATCCTTTTTTTATCCGTTTTCTGCTTCGACTGGAATGGCAGGCCTCTATGAATCAGGTTAAAGCATCGATAAGTGAGCTGGAGACCGCTACTGAGGAGCAAAGTGATGACCTCACCTCCTTGGTAATATTAACACTTTAACAGCCAGACATGATCCTCTTGTTTGGTGTCATATCAGAACCTTACATCCTACCATAGGAGGAAGTTGCCCAGGAGAACCAGCAGAAAGTAGAGCTGGAAAAACAGGCTGTTCAGGAAGCAAAGGCAGAATTGGACAAGCAAAGAAAATCATCTGAAGAGGCAGACTCCAAGTACTCCTCTGTAAGAGACAAAATCGATCAGCTGGTAGAGGAAATAGAGCCACTCAAGGTAAATAAAAATGTAAATGCTTTTCCTTGCCACATTCTCTGCTGCTCTTTAGTTGATATAATTTGGATCTTTGTGAATATTTCATCTCGGGATTCTTTTGACAGTAAATAAGATAATTTTTGTTTTGCTGTCCAGGACGAGCAGCTGAAACTGGAGACGGAGTGTGTGAAGCATGAACGCAACCTTAAACTGTTAGAGAAACAACTGAAGACTCACAGGGACAACATCCAGGCCATGAAAAGCATGCTGCTGGAAAGAGAGGAAGAGTTACAGGTGAGCAGAACTCTGCTGGTTTCATCCAACATCACATTCCAATATTTGTTAGTTTATTTCTACAATGGCCTCAATAGCGCCGAGTCAGGACAGGTAACATGTTCACCTGTGAAGAGCAGAACCTTTACCAGAGACGACTTGATGTGTTGACAGGAAAACATAGAGAAAGCCAAACAGATCAGCCCTGAGCGGCAGCCAGTCACATGCAGCACCAAGAGCATCGACGCAGAAATCACACGGCTGAAGAAGAAGCTGAAGGTGTACGAGAGCAACCATGGCGAACAGGAGCAGGTGATCAGGTGAGACGGATCGGCTCTCAGTTAGATAAGAACATCCAGCGGGGAGGGAAGTGGATTGTTCTTTTTGGAGGGATTGAAAGGTTGGTTTTTGTATGTTGTTTTCGTTTAGCTTCGTTTTAGGTTATGTTGAATAAAACAAATTATCACAAGCATGTAGAATATTTAGGCCCTTATGTACTCTCTTTATCCACAAAAGCTTTTAAAACCTCAGCTGTATAAAAATAGTCAAAAAGTCACCATAAACGCTGCCTTATAGCTGCTGCATGCATGTATCTACTGATGTCTCAAAGGCAGCACCTAAAGGGTATAATTGGAAACTTGTAAGGAGGAGGTAACTCACCCAGAGAATCTTTATTAATACTCCTACACAAATGCAATTACATGGGCGGACAATAAAGCAAGAGTAAAGTGGTGCAGAAAAGACCTACAAATATGGCTCTAGCTTTTAAAGCTAGCTCTAGTTGCTACATTTCAGTAGGAAATTATAATTCTCTGCAGACATCAGAGACTTATGGACCTTTAGGGTAATGATGGACTCAGACCTGAATTTTAACAGTCATATTAAGTCCATTACATAAGTGGCCTATTACCATCTGAAAAACATTAATAAAATAAAAAACATAGTGTCTAAACTAGACTTGGAGAGATAAATCCATGCATTTGTCTCCAGCAGGTTAGACTATTGTTCCAAACGAGCTGTTAGACAATAGAGGTTTACCAAAAATGCTGCTGCTCGAGTCAAGACCAGAACGGGGAAATATGACCATATTAGTCCGGTGCTCCGGTCTCTGCACTGGCTTCCTGTGGCTCAGAGGATAGACTTTAAAAAAGCTCTACTTCTGTACAAGTCTTCTCATGGTTTAGCACAAGGGTGCCCAACCTTTTTTAAACCAAGATCTAGTTTTGAAGTTGATGGCATGCCGAGATCATCCAAGCCAAACACAAGGGATGGGCACCATTTGTTTTTTATTTGCACAGGTGGAGAATAAGCAGTAAGTCCAACAAACGAGGAAATTATTAATATAACAAAAAATAGGTTGCAAAAACAGAACTTAACAATCTCATAAGAACTTCACACCATATCTCTATCTGACTCTCACTCCCTCATCGGACTCACCAAAACTCTCCAGACAAAGGCTGTGCAGTCAAAAAATCTAAATAAACCAATTGATACACACAGTTCAGTAGAGAGAAAACCAAAAAACAAAAAACGTTAGACCTGTAAATTAACAGTCATATGTTTATATCACTGTTTAAGATCACGTCAAAGCAGGAAGAAGGAGAAGGGAAGGCCACTATCTCAGAATGATAAACTTCACTGGGCGTTGGCTTTGGCAGAGAAACTGGAAGATTGATTAAAATTCAACAGGAAAACAGATAAAAACAGGAAAATACAAAGTAAAAACTGTGGATGTGAAGATGTAACATACAGCAGAATGGGTTGTTGACTGTTTCAGAAACCCTTTAATTTCGGGCAAAAGTTCCAAAAATCTTTCGAAAAATCTGCCACAGCTCAGCCGCCTGACGTCAGTGTGCAGCAGCAGATCAGTGTGTTCTCCACCTCCCTCCTCGAGCTGGGCACGGAATAAACGCCTCTGAAAACTCCCGACCCAAACAGAGCAAGCGATCTTCATAGCAACGTCCATGACTTGCTTCATATTTAAAATAATGCTGCACAGCTGTTGATGAATGGTGCAGCGGTTGATCCAAAAATCCTGGAAAGTTTCATTCAGCTTGAACAGAGCAACGAATCCAGCAGAGCGCCCAACCATAGATGGAGCCCCATCAGTTGGGATAGATGTCATTATCTCATTATCTCTGCAGATTCCTCTTTAACGTCCCTGGTAACCTAGCAACCGTGGCAAACCATGCCCAGCAATCACCATGCATAAAAAAAGGTTCCCTGCATACTTTTTATTTTTAGTTTTATTAGTATGAAAATAGACGTTGGCCTCTCGTGATCAATGATTTGATTAGTGTTTTTTAAAACTTTTTTTTTGTCATAGCCATAAATAGTTCTACATTGTAAAACTTCTCACGATCGACTGAAGCTCCGCCCGCGATCGACTGGTAGATCGTGATCGACTGGTAGATCGCGATCGACTGGTAGATCGCGATCGACTGGTTGGACACCACTGGTTTAGCACCAAAGTACATCTCTGACCTAGGGATGCACGATATAATCGGCCCCCTATCGGTATCGGCCTTAAAACTGAATATCGGACATCAGCCACCCCACCGATATTTAACCCGATATTTGATCAGCTTCTGAATTTCTAAAGTCTAAAAAAAAAAAATACTTCTTCTTCCTCAAAAACTTCTTTATTACAGACTTAAAAACATCTAAAGACGAGGGAAAAAATATTGATACATTAAAATATCCCAATATCTTCATATGCTGATATATTGCCATTTAAAAACACCATATCAATCTCTTTTACTAATGAAATATTGCTATATGTCATCGTTATGCTACGAAATCCCCCGAAAATTCACCAAATGTTGCCATATTTTTATATGTTGATATATTGACGCGGTATCAATCTATTTTACTAACAAAATCTCAAAAAAATCTTACTAACAGAATTTGCAAAATATCACGAGAGTTTGTAACAGAACGATGAAATTTCACCAGATTTTGAAAGTAAAATAGATCGATACCGCGTTTTTAAAAATCAATTTGATATCAGCATATGAAAATATATTTGAGTATATTATTTTTCAAAGTGTCAGAAATGGATAACAAAACTGCTATTTTCAATGACTACTTATTTTTGTCCAGCTTTAACATCAGTATCGATATCGGTTATCGGCTACATGAGTTTTAAAATATCGGCATATCGGATATCGGCCAAAATCCCAATATCGTGCATCCCTACTCTGACCTGTTAGAGCCGTTAGAACCATCTCGGGCCTTAAGATCCTCAGGGACGGGGTCTCCTGGTGGTTCCTGACTATGTTAAAGTCCAGGTTATAAACATGCATATTTAATGTTGCCTATTGTAATTGATTGTACTTTAACTAGTTTTAATATATTATATGTATTTTTATATCTTTGTATTGTTTGATTTGTTTTATTGTGTTTCTATTGTTGGTGTTGCTGTGAGGCACATTGAGTTGCCTTGTGTTGTATAAATACATTGTCTTGCCTTGCCTTGCCTCTATAAGGTCTGAGCTAAATAGGTCAGGAAAGGACATGAAGACAAAAACAGTTTTTAAGGAGGACAGGAGGCAACAGGTTCTCTTTATTTCTTTTTTCTATTACCAAGACATTAGTGATTGACAGCTATGTTTGTTTTCTCTAGCAGTGATTCCAACTCATGGCTTTCCCAGCAAATCTTTCATTTACTTCTTTCCTCTCTCCTCCAGATGCATTTAAGGAAAGAGGCCTAGTTTCCTAATTTCTGGATCGCAGGAAAGATAGAAACAAGAGAAGCCCCAGAAAAGGAGAAACACCATGTAAAAAACAAAAAACAAAAGCAGCTGTAAGGCACAGAGACAAAACAAAGATAGTCAAACTGGGGTTCACAAGAGAAAAGGCTAAACTAAGAGGAAGAATTAATAGAAGCATCAGTCTCATTGGATAGGCTGAACCTCTGCTGAGTCTCCTTTGTACCTTAATCAAATCTGCCTCTTGGCTATTCCTAAAACATCTCCTGCCCTGGTTTCATGTAGTTTAAGGCAGAGATATTTACGCCGTGCCAACTTCTTCCCTCTGACCTCATTAGGGAGTATGCCGAGGCGCTCTCGCTCTACAAAGAGAAAACCAACCAAGTGAGGGATCTGCGCAAGTTCATCGATCGGCTCAACATCATCATGTCGGACAGGCAGAACAGATACAAAATAATGCGCAGGTGAGAACATTCGTAAAATGTCTGTTTATTGCATTTATGTGACAGAACAACACTAAGTTGGGCAGATTTGTGATGGCTATGGAAAGGATGCACAGCTGCTAACGTTTGAAATGAAACATTAGCATCTTCAAAAAAAAAAACATACATTGACTATATATTATGTGTGTATGTATATATATTAGTGTGTATTGTGTAAAGACCAGTTTCCATGTCTTGCTAGAGACTAGAAGTCTTTAAGTTTATGCTTTCACATCAGAATAGCACGTTCTACAGAAAAAAGCTATTTTTTTACAGCTTTTTTAAGAAGTCAACGTTATAATTACTGATACAAGCAATTTTATACAAAATACACTCCTGGCAAACATTTGTGAATGCTTGAAAACTGTAAATTTAATACCCTGAGGCCCCCAATATGTCAGAAGCAGGCGTTCGGCTCCTTCTCTGTAGATTCTCCACTTGCAGGGGCGGAGCTAGATGGGGGGCCAGGGGTGGCCATGGCCACCCTCAGCCAATCATTGGCCACCCATACCATTTTTTCCCTCTAATACAGACGGTGGCAGCTGTAATGCTCTCAAGTGGAATCTTCTAAGTTATGCAACATTTATAATTTTCATATGTTAACAGTTACTTGATAACAAAAACACTTTGATTACATATGCAAATCAATATACAAAGATTAAAAATGATAAGATAAGAACTAGATTTTGTCTTATGGGGTAGAGAGAAAATTATGTTTCTGCAAGTCATCTATGAGTCTTCTGTGATTTTAGAAATAAATAACTGTTTTAATAATAATTAATCCATTTAATGCACATATTAGTACAGGTAAATATAAATTTTATGCAGAATGATTATTGAAAAAAATAGATAAGTGACGACAATGAATAAGACGTCCACCCCAGAACTTTAACTTAAAGTTAAAGTTCTTAGACATCATGGATGTTTAAATAGTCTATTTGTTAGCAAAGGGTGTAGGAAAGTATAGTTAGTCTTTATTTAGAAAATATGGATGTTGTGGTCGTTCATTTTCAGTTTGGAACGGTGTAGATTGACCCTGAGATTCTGGCGCCTATCCTCTTTCGGCCCCTCCTCAGTGTACATTGGTTATTGCCTGGCCACCCTTATTAAAATGTTCTGGCTACGCCTCTGTCCACTTGATATTCCCCCTTCACAAAACAAAGCCTATTATTTGTATGAAAATGCCTTATTCTCAGTTATTTACTTCTTAGTGTAAGCCTGTCACGTTCTGTAACATCTAATTAAAGGTGAGTTGTTGTTTCTCCTCCTTGTCTCCTGTCCTCTCTAAGGTCCCTCTCGGTGAGGTGTAAGCTGTACTTTAACAACTTCTTGATCAAGATGAACTGCTGTGGCTCCATGATCTTTGACCACAACAACGAGACGCTTTCCATCTCAGTACGTGTCGTTATCTGTTTCTAAAGATCTTTGTTACTCATTGAAAAAACACTGGAAATGTTGAAGGAAAAGGGCAACACATGTAGGCATCATTGGAGCTAGAGTAGAACTAAACAGTTCCAGAGGATTGTTAAATATATATCTTATATATTGATCTGAATTATCCTTTTTAGGTCCTTGACTTGTTTAAAAAAACCTCTTCTAGCTCATTGGCTTAGTTTGTATGTCTGTATGACCATATTTAAATGGAATAATGTAGTTATATCACTTCCAGCTTCGCTAATTAAAGAGATGATGATCTTAAAGGCATAGTGGGGGATGTTCTTTTTTCCAAGTGGATCATCTCGATAAGTGGTCCTTCTGATTGTCAATCATTCTGGTGATATGTTTACGTACATGCTCGTCCCCAGTTAGCTATATTTTTCTTCGTATGCGCACTCTAAGGCGTTTATATGTGGTGAGCTATGGTTTCAGACAGTCATTGAAGCTCTCCTTTCTCACCATGGTTGTTTGAAAATGGCCGAGGGGTCATATGCAGTGTTTTATAGTAACGAAGTAAAAATACTTCACTACTGTACTTGGTGTACTTTATACTTTCCAAGACTATAAATTTCTTTGAGAACTTTCACTTTTACTTCACTACATTTACGAACTTAATTGCATACTCAGATACATTTTCAATGTTTGGTTTAAAAACGAGCGAGAGAAACGCCAGTGTTTTGACCCCACCTACTGACTACGAAGTCGGGTCTTGCCTGGGTTTGTTCAACACCAATAGGATACGCCTGTTTCGCAAAGCCAGTCTAAATTTATGCTACACTTGGCTGTTTATATTATTTTAAGTGAATTTAACCTTCAAAGTTTACCAAAATTCAAACTGCACTTACTTTTTTTTTTTAGATACTTTGCACTACATTACTTGAGTACATCTATTTTTACAGTAATTATTTTACTTAAGTACAAACCATTTCAGATACTTTAAGACTTTTACTCAAGTAACATTTCAGTCAGTGACTTGGACTTTTACCAAAGTCATATTTTGAAGAGGTACTTATACTTTCACTGGACTCCGAGATTTCAGTACTTTATACAACACTGGTCATACGAGTGTCTACAAAGTGTATGTGAAAAAAATAAGGCCTCAGAAAAGGCAGATATTTCCCAGAATGCTTTGCACAGAGAGCTCCCCTCGCAAAGCATTATGGGATTTGCTGTCCCAGCGGCCAGCTGTCGCTACCCGATAGCGGCGACTAATAACAAAGATGGCGCAGGCACCGTGGAGGATTGTGGATTTAAAGTTCACTATATATTCCCGCTCTATACAGTGATTGAGGGATCTAGGGTTTAGGGCGACGTTTGGACACACTAAGCTTGCATGAGCTATGAGAACAGCAACTTTTAAACAGGCCGTGCACGAGCCCATTTCTTCTCGTGCATGCGCTCGCACGCGTTTATCAGGCATTCCCTCTCGGGAGCAGGCACAGGATTGTGCATGTGCATTTTATTTTTTTTTTAAGTGGAGAGGGCGGGTCTTTTACAGGGTTTCCGCGGGTCATTAAAAAAATCATTAAAAGTCATTAAATCATTATTTTCTAAATTAAGGCCTTAATTGACATTAAAATTCATTAAATTTGATAATCGTGGCATTAAAATGGCTTTGGAAAAGAAGCTTGAGGCAGAGAAAAGGCTAGAGAATGGGGAAAAATGCAAATTTGAACTAAAGTGGTGGGAAAACAAGGAACTCGGGACATGGCTGCAGCCTGTCCACGGTGAAGATGACCAAGGATTTTGCTTTGTGTATATATATATATATATATATATATATATATATATATATATATATATATATATATATATATATATATATATATATATATATATATATACATAAGTCATGGGTACTTGTTGATGGCGCTAAGATTATTTCTAAGAACATTAAAAGAGCATTAAAAAGCATTAAATAAGAGTTACTCATTCATGTATAAACCCTGTTTTCTCTTTGTTTTAAAAAAAAAATATGAGAAAATCCTCCACTATACCTTTAAGTAACAAAGTGAAATACATTTTGAAAAATAGTCAGAGCTGTTTTGTCACAAAGGTGAAGCCTCCAGGCAGGGACAAAGATGGCGCGAGTGACATGAGGTCTCTGTCTGGAGGGGAGCGCTCCTTCTCCACCGTCTGCTTCATGCTGTCCCTTTGGGAGATCACAGAATCGCCCTTCAGGTGTCTTGACGAGTTCGACGTCTACATGGTGAGTCCATTACAAATCAGTCTTTCATGTTGAAATCCAAGAAAAGAAGAACAGCTTTTCCATCACTGTTTGCTGCAGGACATGCATAATCGGAGGATCTGCCTGGACCTCCTGTTGGAGCTTTCAGAGCGGCAGCACCTTCGGCAGTTCATCTTCATCACTCCGTTAAACACCAGGTGATGCCTTGTTTCAAAAATCCTTTCTCTTCACTTTATTCTAAGGATTGATAGAAATTCACCTCCGTTTTCTACATGTAGTTTTTCAAAATAATCTATTTTTCTTAATTGAAAAGTACAAAAAAAACGTTCTGCTCCATGACGTCCTAACTAAGACTTCTATTAACCTTCTAACTTCTGTTACTCTTGGCATCATTTTGCATATTTTTAGAGATTCTCTTTCTTTATAAATTAGATGTTTTGCGTTATTAATCATTAGCTGCATCAGTAACATACCAATGGGGAAAACCAGGATATACACACTGCAAAAATGATCTAGAAATAAGTACGGTAAAAAATATCTTAAAGTAAGTGTATTTACCATTAATTCGAGTAGGTAAATAAGATGATTTGCCAATGGATTGATTTTTACTCCTACTTACTAAACTTACTATACTTACTAAAATAAGGTAATTAGATAATATTGACTTAAAACAAGACAATAACATTGTTTTTTTTTATTTTAAACGTAAATCGTCTTGTTCTATTGGCAAAGTATCTCACTTTCCTCATAAATTCAAGAAAAAATTCCCTTATTTGAAGCAAACATGACTTATTTAGAGTTAAATTATTTGCATTGCAGAGTGTTTCGACAGATTTCACTCCACTTGAACTTTTTGACCTTTTTCCACATTTCAGGCTTCAAACATAAAGATAAGAAGCTGTAATTCTTTGTGAAGAATCAACAACATATTGGACACAATCTTGAATTGGAACGAAATTTATGGTGTCCAGGTGTTCAGTAATTTTTACCGAATAAAAACTGTAGCGTGAGGTATAAGCGAATCGTTCAAGGGGGGCGAATACTTTTGCGAGGCTCTGTGGTTCCTGCAGTTTAAACTGCTTCTTTCCCCACAAACTGCTGCCTTAGTTATGTTTGGTACCCGGTAAAAAATTTTTTATTCTCTTCCAGTAACCTCCCCAGAACAGCCCTCATCAAGATCCATCATCTGGGAGATCCTGAACGAGAAGATCGCCACACAAAAGACAAAGATGTGCAGCAAGTGTGATCAGGAAATATTAATACTAATAGTTTGTGTATGGGAGATGCTTAACTTTTAAAATCTGACATTTTTACTGCAGGTGTTTTTATAAATATAGATTTAGATAAATAGACTTTAAATATCTGGTGTAAGAATTTTTTCTCTGTATATAGAAATTTAGATGGAAAACGTTTTATAAAGTTTATGCTATATTTTTATGGTTTTACTTGATGATGTTCACCCATATTTTGTATCAGAAAAGTGTTTTGAGTGTCTGAGAAAAGAGTTTTCACCCTGTTTGTTTAAATGACTATTTATGATATTTTGGCTGATCTATGTTTTATCTGTGGGCCAAACAAGGATTGTAAAATGTCCTTAGATCATGTTTGGGTTCAGCTTTGTAGAATTTTGCATTATGTTAGATTTGCTTTAATGTATTTTAAAATGAGTCTGATTTTCATTATGTCCCACCTCAGATATTCCTTCACGTAGCTGAAACAATGATGCTGTTTACCTTCATCATCCGCCACTCGTTCTTTTTCCTTCCTCCATCTACTTGTGTGATCCCATATTCGTGCTGGCGCTATATGAGGACAGCTAGATGGCCTCGACTTGGAAGGATTTGTAATGCTTCTACTCCTCATCATGTTTAAGAATAAATATTTTTTTTCTCATTTATTCATGAAGATGTAATGTAATAAGATTTCAATCAGCAAGCTGTCCGGTAGTGTGCAGCCACAGGCAGCTCTGTTTCTCTCTGTTCCATGCAGGCTGATAAAACTGCACTTTATCTCACTCCTTATCTAAAGTTTAGCAGTTTTAGTAAATTATATATGATATGCGTGAAATCTAAAACATTTGTTTATGATTTTTATAAATGAGAGGACAGAGTTTCCCACAGTCAGATTTTACTGCTTCACGATCTGACCATTGAGGGTTAGACACTGTGCTGCAAAATGTTCACTCCTTTTATACTTTGGTTAAACAAAAAAATATTATTTTAGTGCAAAAACATTACCGCAGGGTGGCCGCGGGTCCTTAAAATGTCTTAAAAAGTCGTAAATCAATTTTCCTCAAAATAAGGCCATGAAAAGTATTAAATTGTCTTAAATTAATTTTGCATGGGTCTTAAATATTTGTGCGTCATGTCCCCGTGAAAATGCGGGCAGTGTGTTCTGCGAGGTGGAATATTTTTTTCCGGTAGCCCATGCGCTGCATTGTCTATGGTTAGGTCAGAGCTTAGCCTACTGCGCAGCTCTTGATGGCGTAGGCTAAAGCATCCACAGGTAGGCCGAATACAGCACCGATAGCCCCTTGACTACCTTAAACATGGGGAAATGCAAGTTCAATCACAAATGGTTAGAAAAGAATGAATATTCTTGGTTACGGTCGGTGCCTGGCAGCGCTTATGAAGCTAGCTGCATTGTATGTCAGAAGAATTTCAATCTTGGGACAACGGGGATCAGAGCAGTTGAATCTCACGTACAGAGTAAAAAACATGAAGACTATGTACGGTAAAAGCACGCCAGCAGCCTGCAATTGCTAGTTTCTGCTCCACCGTTTCCACCGCAAGCAACGATGTTAACAGTACAACGCTGAATGTTACACTAGGAAATCCACAGCCTGCAACAAGTGTGCCGTCTGAGCTCCCAGCAATTTGTGGCTCCACGCCAACACTCCGAGCAGAGTTGATTTGGGTGCTGAGGACCGTGACAAGCCACCATTCATTCAGGTCTAATGACGGGATTGAAGAACTGTTCAAAGCAATGTTTCCAGATTCGGGGCTTGTACAGCCATTTACTTGTGGAAAAGACAAAACCAGATACATAGCTAAATTTGGATTGGCGCCATATATAAAAAAAGAGCTCATCACCGAAGTCCAAAAATGCAGTGCGTTTGTGCTTATGTTTGTTGTCTTTTCGCATTACACACATTTAACCGATTTTCTTAAACTCAACCGTCATTTTTATTTGTATTTCCATCGTACGTTTGGTCTTAAATTTCATTTAAAAGTGGTATTAAAAGGTCTTAAAAAGTATTAAATTTCACTTGTTTATACTTGTAGACACCCTGGTGCAGCAGATTTTTAATTCAGCTGCTCCCATCAGTACATGAGCAGGTAGAGTCCAACCTTATTGTGAACGCCGCAGAGATTAGTTTTTTGACAACAGCAAACCTACAGAACAGCAGGCAGATGTTAAAGTGATGTTCAGTCCATCATCCTAAAAGTTAACTGCTAACTTTACATATATGGCTATCCACCAGAGCTGAAGGGTGAGATGTGACTTTGGAGGAGCTGCAGAAATCCACAGCTCAGTTGGGAGAATCTGTTGACAGAACAGCTGGTAGTTGTTCAGAAATGGACAGGAAGCTGAGTACTGGGAGCTGCTGGATCCATTCGTGAAATAGTTTGAAAACAATCATCTGATCCTGAATGTCAATAAAGCAAGGGAGATGAATTTAGATTTTAGAAGAAACAGGAACAACTTGAATCCCGTTAGAATCGTGGGAGAAATGGAGGAGTAAAAAGATCTTTATGTTCACCTGGACATCAACCTGAACTGGGGAAGCAAATGTGAATCTTTCTTCAAGAGACAGAGCAGACTGTACTTCCTAATGAAACTTCAGTCCTTCGGTGTTTATAGAAGATATGTAAGTCTGTTGAGTTATAAATGCATCATCTGCTGGGCAAACAGTGCTATAGCTAATGACTTTAATAAGGGTCAAGAAGCTAATAAAGAAGGTCAGCTATGTTTTAGGAACTCATCTAGAACCTCTGGAGATGATTTCACAAAGAAAAAATTATGGAAAAGACTGAGGATCCTGTAAAGGAGATTATTAAATAGAAACAGTGTCTTTAGTATGGAGCTTCTCCAGGTCTGATGCAACACAGACAGCTACAGAGAATCCATCCTGCCTGCAGATATCGACACCTACACAACTCATTAAAAAAATTTAATAATTTAATTTCTTCCCACACTTTTCAGAACTTTATTATGAATAGATCTTGAAAATGCATTCAACTGTCGGATCCTTTTTGATCTCCTTTGTGCTGATCTATCCCAAAAAAAAAAACTGGTAAAATAAATAAAATTTTATGGTCGCAAATTTAACTTGCTGTAAATCTTGATTAGGATTTCCTTCACAATTTTCCCATCTTAACTTCGCTGAACACCAAGGCTTTATTTTCAGACTGATGTGCTCTGAGCTCCTTAAACTATACGAGAATACCTTTAGGGCGCATAGTAGAGCTTCTCATTCTGATTATTGTCCTGAGACAGTCTGTGTTTTAGCTATATGTAGTCCTTTTCTTTCGTTTTGCCATTTCAGAGCAGTCAGACAGCCATTAACTCCACCTGCCAGCCTGTGTGTTTCCAAAAAGCCTGTTGATGGTTTATTCATTTTAAACATTACAGAACTGAGTTTAGGTGCAACACATGCCACATGTATAAAAGAGTACAGTCAGTTGAATAATGAGAGTTCATATCCCATAGAAACATTTACCTAACAAAAAAATAAATACATTTCTGACCTGATGTCTGGACTAAAAAATAAAACTAATAGAGTCGCTGAAATGTGAGGATTGGCTTATTTATGTTCAAGACAAAAACAATGAATAGCTTCTTCTGCAACATCCACTGGTGCAAGTGGACAACAAGCAGACTCTCAGTCCATGCTTGCATAGCCTACACGTGAGAGGAGGAGGTGGGTGATGATGGGCCGGGAGGGGGGATCAAGAGAAAAAAAAATCTTCAGTTACCAAACGCGACTGTCTCACAGTGTAAGAAACTTCATCGAACGCCTCTTTGAGGTCCCCACATCTTTCCTGATCGCTGCGAACGGGTTGCCTAAATGAGACCTTTCAATAAAAAGTTTCTCCTTACAAAAAGGTTTTACACAAAGGAATGCAGTGTATCCAGTAAACATAGATGAGGCTTTTGTTGTTGTTTCAGCTGCATTGAAAAAAATGGAGCCACCCTCACAAGCTCCCTAAGCCTTGAGGGCTCGCCCCTGCAGCGCATCCAAAAGCCAAGAATGTACTCAATTCGCAGTGCTTTGTTTCTGTAAACATATTGATATGTAAGTTAGTCAATTTTTTTTTTTGTTGTAATTATTATTTCTTTAAGTTTAAATCAAAACCAAGCAGCCTGAAAAAGAAGCCAATTATTGGAGTGCTGCGCCTGTTGATGCTGGGGATGTTTGACCTTTCATTTGAAACGGCAGCAGCACTATGTGATCAAAAGGAAGGAAAAAAAAAATCATGTCTGCATGAATACATTTCTGCTCATCCCACATGTCACACTGGGCCACAACGCGGCGCTGCATGTAGACGTGAAAGCTCTTCAACCCACGGCTACAGGGCGAGCACCTTTCCGACGACTCTAGTGTCAAACACGAATGCTTTTTCAGATGGGTGGGGGTGGGGGGGCATGCTCCCACCATACTGGGGGACAACTAATGATCTAATGCGTCACATACTGTACAGCCCATGCAACAATACTAAATAAATCTCCAATTTTCGTCTTTTTATAGCCACCTAAAGATGCAAAAAGGTAAGAGATTATATATATATTTATATTTTTTTTCCCGACACGTAATATATGCATGCAAAGAACCTACTCTTCTTGGTTCCACTGAGTGAGAACATCTGGAACAGACAAGAGCCTTTTCTATTCTCCAAGAGCTCATCAAGTCTGGATATTAGAGACAGTTACAATTATCATAGGAATTATTGTTTTGTTACTATTATGTAAAGCATACAGTAGTTGTAGCAGTGAACACTGGAGGGAAGGGGGGGAGTAGGGGGTCTAAATACTGCAGAAACAAACCCGAATGTAGTGCTCCACTGATATACAAGCTAAAGGTTGGATGAGAATGTACAGGGTCACTGTGCACGAATCACATTGGCATGTCTGGAAATAAACATCTGTGATATCTTATAGCTATTTTTCAAAATTATTCTGCATTTGACATTCTCATGCATACGACCACAAGAAGCGAGTCCATTGAAAAATAGTCCAAGCATTTTCTTTTTCTTTTACGTTATGTTGGTTTTTTTTTCTTCCCCCCTTTGTGGAAATGGCAGAGAACCTTAATGAGACCTTAAAACGTGTGTGCTGCTGTCCAGAGTTGGTGGCTGGGGGGTGAGACCGGGGGGTAGAGAGAAAGAGGTGCAAGCAGGGAGGGGGGGGAAAGGGGGGGCCGAGGCCGCTTCACTTCTGCATGTCACACTGCAGCAGGAGCACGATGGACGGGTCGCTCTTCGCCGCCTCCTTGAACTCCTCCAGCGTGATCTGGTCGTCGTTGTTCTTATCCATTTTGCTGAAGATCTTGTCTACCCTCTGCTCCGGTGTCAGGCCGTCCTCGTTCATCTTCATCATGATCACGGTGCCCACCATTTTGTAGATGGCCTGTGGGTGTGAGGGAGTGAGAAATTAGCCGAGGAGTGTGCTTTGTTATCTAATGCAATGAAGCCTACGTGCTTCCAGAAGCGTCCAGAGTTGCTCCAAATAAACGTGTGCAGTTTTTTAAACCAGTTGGTGTGATGTAACCATAGAACCACATCACACTTTCATCCTTTAAATCAAACAGTGGTTTAAGACCTAAAAGCTGCTAATTGTGTTTAGAAATCTGTCTATATAGTTCTTCTGCTGATAAAAGTGGGTAAAAATGTATTAATTAATCTTTCATTGCAGTTATATGAAGTATCTTATGTTTGGAAACATTTGTTTTAACAGTCAATTTTTTATTCTTATTTCACTCTTGACACTCAGACATCAACTAAATATTCTGGGATCTTCTAAATAATAATGCATACTTTCTGTTTCCCTTTACTAGTAATATAATGTGAAACTAAAGTTTGTTTGCAGCTGGAGGAAAGACTTGATGAGAAAAAAGCAGAAACGCTGTGCAAGATTTAAAACAAAGTCCCAAAGCTTTACAGAGGTGCATGAACGAGTTTCATCTTAATATCTCCAAATCCCCAGAACAATCTTTGGATGCTAACGATGTGCTAACCATTGATGGTGCTAACTGTGATTCTTGAAGTTTTGCTTTAATTATTCATTTTTTGCAAACAGAACTAAAGAGAGATCATATCTCTCCTATCCTGGCTTCTCCTCATTGGCTTCCTGTTAAATCCAGAATAGAATTTAAAATCCTCCTTCTCACATATAAAGCCTTAAATGGCCAAGCTCCATCTGATATCAGAGATCTGATTGTTCCTTATGTTCCTAACAGAGCACTTCGCTCTCAGTCTGCAGGTTTACTAGTGGTTCCTAGAATTTCTAAAAGTAGAATGGGAGGCAGATCTTTTAGTTATCAGGCTCCTCTCCTGTGGAACCAACTACCAGTTTTAGTCCGTGAGGCAGACACCCTGTCTACTTTTAAGGCTAGGCTTAAAACTTTCCTTTTTGATAACGCTTATAGTTAGAGTGGCTCAGGTTATCCTAAGCTATCTCTATAGTTCTGCTGCCATAGGCTTAGACTGCTGGAGGACATAGGGACCCCTTTTTCATCATTCTGCTCCATTCTATCTCTATTCTCCCACTCTGCAGAATCTGTTAGTTCAATCTCTATCGTTCTGCTCTCTCTGCTTTTTCTCATAGTAGCTTCATCTGGTCTGTTCCTGTTTGGCTGTGACTCCATCCTGGAGAGAAATATCAGCTGTGCTGCTGCCATCAACACCTTTGTTTCTAGATGTTGGAGATTGGCCTGTTTTCCAGTGTAGTCCTGTTTCTCTGACTGTGACTAACTGGATGTGCTCTCTTCATCCTCTGACATGGGAGCTGGCTCGGAGCTCGTCTGCCTGGCTGTGTGTTTCCTGGACGGGGCCGCCTTTTACAGCTGCTTTTTGTATCTATGCTTCTTTTTCTATGTCTGCTTCTGTTTCCTTGAACCCCAGTGGGCCTCAGCAGATGGCCGCTCACAGGGAGCCTGGTTCTGCTGGAGGTTTCTTCCTGTTAAAAGGAAGTTTTTCCTCTCCACTGTCGCTACAAGCATGCTTAGTGTGAGGGATTGCATTTGAGTTGATGAGTCGATGCAATCAACTGGTTTTCCTTAGAAAGAAAACTTTGAATTAATCTCACTGGATGATCTGGTTGAACTCTAAAGTGCCTTTAGATGACGTGTTGTAAATTGGCGCTATAGAAATAAACTGAATTAATTTAAAGTAAAATGTTCTACTGCTGTAATCAGGTTTGCTTTGGCGTAGCGGCTGATTTCTTGTTTACGACTAAATCCAGGCTAAACTGTTCCCTGTCCTACCATCACAAACAAAAACATCTACTGTATTTTTCGGACTATAAGCTGCTACTTTTTTCACATGCTGTGAACAAAGGTGCGGCTTCTCTGTGGATTTTTCCTGACTGCCAGGGGCTTTAAGTCAATATTCAAAGTCAGAACATGCTATCAGCAGGCACAACGGAGAACAAATTTCCCGAATTCACACATTTTGACATGCATTAAAGCTGTCGAGCCAAAAAAAAAGACTTTGTGCAACTTCTGCAGAACTAAAATAAAGAGCAAATCCTCATTTTTAGAAGCTCTCACTGCTGCAAGCCAAGACGGTGAGTGGAGTTAGCATTGCCCTAGTGGTCATATGTGGAGCTACACCAAAACGTTTGTTTGGGGACGGTTCAGTAGATATCAGCGGCTTATAGCCTGTTGGGGCTCATATATATAAACTTCCAGTCTAAAAAAAAACATTGTGGGTATGGCTTATAATGAGGTGTGCCCTATATTCCAGAAAATACGGTAGTTGGCCAAATCAAACTAGACTAAAGGCTGTTTTACACCTGACATATCTATGTTCCACACAGAAAGTGGCTGATGCAGCTTTAGCAGCTTTTTATACTTCCTGCAGCTTTTTCCACGGTACCCTAATATTCTAGCCGACTCTTTGGGGGTTATCAACACTGCACTACATATTGTAATAACAATAATACAATTTACTTAAAGCCCCTTTCAAAACATCCAACGACACTGTGCAACATACATAATCAACATCACACAATATTAAAAACAGCCCAGAGCAGTCACTAGAGCTAAGCAGTCTGCAGCAGATTCATTTTTCACATCGATATCAACAGAGGTAAAGTATCAGTTTTATGAGAATCAGGAATGACTGAATTGCAGAGTTTTGGAGCAGAGCGGGAGAAAACTCTGCTTCCCATGGGGATGAGGGGAACAGAAGGCTTAATACGGTGGATGGAAGAGGAGACCTAAGGGGATGGGAGGGGGTAGCAATCTGAAAAAGATCAGAGAGGTATGGGTTAGCAACATTATTGATGATCTTAAATGTGAACAGGAGGATTTTAAACGGGAGTCTAAAGCTGACGAGAAGCTGGTGAAGCTCCAGCAGGACCGGGGATGATGTGATGGAATGAGATGTTTTTGGTAATTAAACGAGCTGCTGAAATCTGGACCGACTGAAGCTTCTGGAGGGATTTCTAAGGAAGGCCAAGAAGTAATTGTAAGAAGTCATTGATGTGTGAGGTGGCGAAAATATGGGCAAGAATAGAAGCAGAACGCGGGAAAAGAGAGGGACGAAGACAATGGATGTTTGGTAGATCTAAATACATACGCCACAGGGGTTATGCTACTGATATGGGAGGTCAATGACTGAGTGTTATCAAGGATAACATCCAGACTCCAGGACGTTAGGATGACTTAGATAAGAGTGAAGTTGGGAGGCAGTGGAAACAAGTTAGAAATGGGGCGGATATTATTATACTTGTTTGGATCTGATTCAGTATTCTTTAGGAAAGATAACTGGTGTTTTAAAGAGGTAAGGAGCAATAATGGACGAGAGTAGGGACTGAAGACAAGACATGACCGGGGTTGTTGGGATTTGATTAAACCTGAGGTGGAAGACTTGGATCTATGGATTAAATTTGAGTTGTTAGAGATGCTTGAATCCCAAAAAACTGCAAAATACATGGCGTCTACATTCTCAGATGACACAAAGACGTCACCTGAGAGTGAAAGTAATTCCTTTCCAAGACTTGTACACAACCTGTTGATCATAGTGATATTATGGACCAAATCAAGATGTATATAGATGTTTATCTTTGGGAATCCTTGCTAATAGCAGCTAAGCCTGTCCAAATGCTTTTTCCACATGGAACTGACTGTGTCGTCAGCAGTCCAGCTTTGCTCAGGGGTTTGGATAGTAAAAGTTATGTATGGGAGAATTATTAAGAGAAAATATTTGAGAGAGAGCGCATGTTTTGAGTGTGAGCGTTATAAGTTTTGAGTGCAAGAAGATGAAATTCTTTTCTCAAATTGAAATATATGTGCTCTTGCATTATGGCAGGATAATTCTCCCATAGTTATGCTATATTGCTGTGCAGACCTTGCAGACAAGTAAAGTATAAACCAGAATTAAGAGTGAGCCTTTTGATAAAAACTGTATTTTTGTTTTGAGTTTTTTTTTCCTATTAAACTTCAGACACAAGATGTGGATGCTAAAAACTGAAAGTGAGCACCAACTGTTTGGGATATATTTTTAGCCTATCACTGCTTCTGGCATGCTTTTGTTTCTTTAATTTGAAACATCAACAATAGTGTGTGGATAAAAGTTTTTAAACTAAATCCCACAGGCTACCTTGGCGATGATATTCTTCAAAATAAGAATTTTAAAAAGCCTGGAACAGGGTTACTGAGGCCTTATACTCCATGGCCTCGTGAGCTGTTTGAAAAACCAGCAGGTTTGACATGATTGGCTCTACCAGTAAACGGAAAATGGGTCATTAGGTGTTTTATTGGGAAAATGATCCAAAATATCTGCCCTGATCTACAGAGAAAGGGTTCAGATGACATGAAATGAGCCGTCTTCCATGGCTATCACCATCCTCAGACCTAAATCTTGTAGAAAATTGAGGGTTGAATTGAAGAGAAAAGAGCAAAGCAAAGAACCAAAGAATCTGGACAATCTAAAGAAGGGGACAAAGTATGGAATCTAAAAGCGTTACCAGTAGGGTTACCAAACACAGGCCGGAGCAGAGATTTTTTGAAAAATTATTTTTTTTTTACTCAATAACTGAATAAATATGCTGATATTGAATGTTGCAGAAAAATTTCAAAGAGTAAAAAAATATTTAAATATAAATATACCGGTATGTATATTTTTTATATATCAGAGGTTCCACCCTTGCTGTATTTTCAATTGGTAATCAGATAAAGCTAGTTATTTATAATTCCCAGTTTAGATTTAGTTTCATCAATGTTTTAAAGTGAACTACTTATCCTTTCTACTATCTCGTTTTAGTTTTATGTTTAGTTTATGTTCTCATCTGATATTGTTTTGTATTCAAGGTGTTTAATGATCTTTGTATAACTGGAGACTGTATAGTTGGACATTGTTTTTCACTTAGTTTTGCTAAAGCGCTTAAATCCTACCTAAAGGACA